ATAGTAGATAGTAAGATAGCTTCTACTGCAATTACTCTAAGGCAGTATACTATACTTACTAGTATATCTAAATAATCTTTAGCGCGCTGTAATTAGTAGATATATAAGTTAATGCCTAAGATAGCTAGAAAATAAATAAGCTTACTAGAAAACTAGTTACTGCTAATATGCTAGAAAATAAAAGCTTCTAGTAGCTTAATAAGCTTCTAAATTTAAGTGCTCTTATTATTAAGATTTAGAGATTAAATAAAGCTTATTATAAGCTCTAGTTAATTCTCTTACTAAGAAAATAAGGCTATAGCGTTATGCAGCAGATGTTAACATATTATTAGCTAAGTTAAAGTATTTATACTTAAATTAGAGCTAGAGAAAGAGCTTAGTAGGTTCTATATAGCAGCTATAGGTATTTAAGTATTACTAGTAATTTCTTTCTTATAGATTACCTATATAACTCTAAGGTAGTAGCAGGTAAAGCGCTTTAGATATCTAGTATAACGCTATTAGAATACCTTATTCTAAAGGCGTTCTATAGGCTAAGTCTTAATCTCTATCTTCTTAGAGCTTCTTAACTAGCAGTAGGTCTCTAGAGGTAAGATAGAAAGACTAGCTACTCTCTACTCTATAGCTAAGTCTACTACTCTAACTACCTATTATAATAAAGTATTATAGTAATTAGGTAGCTAGCTTACCTAGTAAAGTTATTTTAGATTATATTTTTCTAAGATATTCTTACTAGCTATTTCTAATAAACTAGCTAGTTTAATCTATTCTAGGAAATAATAGCTTTAGTAATATTATACGCATTAAGTTATTATTACTAAGCATTCTAGTATTTAGCTAAGATAGTAGTTATCTTAGAATTTAAGAATACGTTTTTAACAGTCTCTATATAATTAGAGTCTAGAGTGCTTAAACTAGATATTACTATAGTAAAATAGCGCTAATAGCTACTAGTTCTAAAGAGTATCTAGACTTTTACTCTCTGCTAATGCTCTCTTACTGCTAGTAAGCTTTGCTATTAGTGCTCTTTATTATAGTATTAAGCTATAGTTCTTTAGTTAGTACTAATATAGCTATAGCGCTACTCTTTGCATTACTATATATAAATTAGGTCTCTTAGAAGCATAATTAGTTCTCTACTATAAGTAGAGTAGGTAATATTATAAGAACTTATAATCTATAATACTAGTAGTTCTAGAAAGCCTTTCTCTCTACTAACTTAGTTATAGATCTTAGATAGTACTAAATAACTGCAGTTTAGGTAAGCTTTTTAGTTTCTTATATCTCTATACTAAGTGCAAATAATTATGCTAAATTTAGAGAGGTAGTAAAGTAGCGTATAAGCGCTAGTAAATTATAGTAATAAAAGTAGAGTCTTCTTAAGCTTATATAATTATATATAGCAATTATATAAGTAATAAAGAATTAGAATTAAATACTTAAAATATTATTAAATATAAGCTATCTTAAGAAGAGAGTAAGTAATTAAGAATATTAGCTAGTATTAGATAAAGTAATAAGTATCGCAATTATAGCTAGAGCTTACTAAGCTAAGAAGTAGAGTATTAGCATATTAGCGCTAGCAGGCCTAGAGTAGCAGCTTAAGTTTTAAAGTTCCTTATTAAAGTAAACTCTCTAACTTTAAATGCCTATATTATAACGAATTTTAATGCTATTATAGTTCTAAGTGTAGATCTAAGCTTAGCGCACCTTTCTGCAGAATATAGCCTCTTAGAAATATATTATTTCTCTCTAGAAGGTTATTTATTTCTATAACGCATTTCTATAATATAGCGCCTTACTAAGGCCTATTCTAATTAGCTAAGCTCTGCATTTCTACTAAGAATGCAGATAGACTTAACGATAGAGTCTATTAATAATAAGATTTCTTTAATAAGTTAAGATAGTGCAGTTATGTAATATAACTATTAAACTAGTATTATAATATATTAAGAATATATATATATCTTATATAATAGATAGTGCTCTACCTCTATCTTTATAATTAGAAGAGATAACTAAGAATAAGTTAGTAATTAGAGACTCTATAGAATTTCTTTTCTCTATTAGTAATAGTTAATAATTAGTTAAGGAAGTTAAAGATAGCAATAATATTAGTGTAATATAGTATAGTATAAATATATAAGTTATTAGAGATAGCGTTATTATTTAATAATAGTTTATATTAAGAGAGAGAAAAGCAGGCAGAGTTATTCTACTTTTCTTTAATATTATTATAATAAGACTTAGAATATCTCTAATAACTCTTTATAACGTATTAGCAGTAGCTATACTCTACTTATATATAATTTTAGCTACTAAAAGATATTAAAATACTTAACTCTATTAAAATACTTAACTCTATTAAAATATTACTTAACTCTATTAAAATATTGCTTAACTCTACTATAATATTACTTAACTCTATTAAAATATTACTTAACTCTGCTATAATATTACTTAACTCTACTATAATATTACTTAACTCTACTATAATATTGCTTAACTCTACTATAATATTGCTTAACTCTGCTATAATATTGCTTAACTCTACTATAATATTACTTAACTCTGCTATAATATTGCTTAACTCTTAGGTATATATAGGGCTAGTCTTAGCACTATTATTAATCTAATATTAGAAATTCTAATATATATAGATATATTATTAGAAGAGCTATAAGACTCTGCTAAATAAGTACGTTACTTATAGTATAACTTATTATTACTAGTTACTACTAAACTTTCTTATTATACTTTTACTTTAAAGCGCGTTTAGCTTCTAATTACTCTGCTTCTATTATATACTTATATAAGTATTCTATATTAATTATAGAGATAGAAGAGTAGTTATAAGAACTATATATTAAACTTAATAGTATATCTTCTAGCTAGCGTTAGAATATATAATAAGCGCTATTAAAAGAGAATAATCTTATACTTATATAAGTCTTTGTTAACTAGACTTTATACGTTTATAAGAATAAAAACTTCTTATATAGTAATAAGAATAAAAACTCTTTATATAGTAATAAGAATAAAAATAGTCTATGCAGTAATAAGGATAAAAACTCTTTATATAGTAATAAGAATAAAAACTCTTTATATAGTAATAAGAATAAAAACTCTTTATATAGTAATAAGAATAAAATCTATTTATATAGTAGTAAGAATAAAAACTCTTTATATAGTAATAAGAATAAAAACTATTTATGCATGCAGTAGTAAGAATAATAATACTCTATATAGTAGTAAGAATAAGTACGCTAGGATAAAAACTATGCTTAACTAGGCATGCTAGGATAAAAACTATACTTAATTTTAAAACTTTTTTTTTTTAGCTTTATTTTAGCTAGAAATTAATTTTTCTAAAATAATTTTTTTTTAGAAATTTTCTCTAAGTCTGTTATACGTATACCTTTTTTCTCTATACTATAGAATCTAATTTATTACTATCTCTTAGCTTTATACGTAAGTATTTATAAAAGATAAAAGAGTTTATATATTAGCAAAGTTAGTATTTATGCGTATTCTGCTATTTTAGAGTATATAGTATTTATACTAGACCTAAAGCACGTAAATTAGAGAGAAGCACTATACTAGACTATAATAGAAGAGAATTAATACCTATTTTACATTGCATATATGCGTCTTTAAAGCAGAATACGTAATTATCTAAGTTAGAAGTATTAGAGGCTAATACTATAGTGTATTATATACTAGGCTCTTAGAATTAAGATAGACTTTCTCTTTAATAGAGTTTTTAGCCTCTATATAAATTCTGCGCTAACTATTTTAAGACGCAGATTAGGCCTATTCTATTATATTCTCTTATCTAGGCTCTATAAATCCGTTACTAAAAGAGGTTCTATTTCTTAAAATTTCCGCAACTCTTAATATCTTAGGAACTTAAGCAAGGAACAAAGAGAGATACTAGGCAGATCCAAGTAAATTATCTTAGTAATTAAGAATATCCGAGTTTAGTCTAGGGAAGAAGGTGCTTGGGAGTCACATAATATGCTAGTGTGGCAGGCGCTGCTCGGTGGGCAATAGGACCTATTACAACAGCGTGAGTCTGAGACACTCTACACGATAGTCAATAGAATACGTTGCAGCAACCCAGCCTTGTCCCTCCTCTCATTCGCTTATCCATGGTAGTCATACTACTGAAGGGACCTTGTTCCAATAACTTACATCTTTTACATAAAGTACACACCGTGCGCGTCGGCGTAGTATAACTGAATAACGTCGCGCATATAATATGGCTTTACTTTTTTGGGCTACGATCTCACGACCACATCTTCTGCAACTGCATCTCCGCGCCGATTGCGCGCTGCCATATCGCGTCCATGCTGCTTGCCCATCGCCTTCATGGCCCGGCTGTCAGGGCGATGCGATTGGGGGCCGCAGCCGCGGCACCAGCCAACGCGCGAAGCCGATGGCCGCCACGAATGCGACCGCCCGCGACCACAACCACGATCACGCTCGAGACCAGGATCACGCCCATGGCCATGCCTCTGCCGATTGCGCGCCTTAATATCGCTTCCAAGCTCCTTGCCCAGCGCCCGCACGGTCCGGCTGTTAGAGTGACGCGATCGGTCGCAGTCGTGTTTGTTTGTTCCCGCCCACCAAACCCCGCCTTGGAGCTGCGACATGACCGCTGGCTGCGCGCCTTCGCATTGCGTCCATGCTCCTTACCCAGCTGTCAGAGCGACGCGATTGAGGGCCGCGGTGGTGGACGCCCGGCTCCCCTCCAATGCACCGACCGACCCTATCGCCAAACGAAGGACGAGGGCCCAAGGCATCGCAGGATCACTAGTAGCGTGCCATCATAGGCGTTCTTCTGACACCGTCCATCAGCTTCGCGGCTCCCTCGCCGACGCTCACCCGCGATCGCCGCTTCCTCACCACCGACGTTCCCGCGCTTTGCCCACAACGCCACACTCTACTCCTTCCTCGCATTGCGCTCGCCTCGAGGCCCCGCTCGATTATTTGACGTCATGTCGAGCCAAGGTGGCAAAACATCGAAGCGCCAGCAGCAAAAGGAGGAGAGACGGCAATACCACCAGCGCGGTCGGGCAGAGAAGAAGTCTGCACAGGACGGCATCAAGGACAACCTGCCTTTCGACCTCCCCAACCAGCCTCGTGTCCACCTGCTGAAGTCCCTGTACCTGTACGGGCCTAAGTCGGACAGGTTTGTCAAAGAAGGAGAGCGACTCCTTATCACAGTAATGAAACGAATGTTCGTAGTCTATAAGTCGCTTCCTGCACTTGCGGCGTAGCCTGCAACTACTATAAATGCGCTTCTCTTTTAGCTGTACCTAACGCTCGATATGTTATAGGCTTATCTTTTCATCTCTATACTGCCATCAAGCGCAGCACCATTACGAGTAGGGCTATAACAAGTAGTACTATTCCGCGGAGTCATCTCAATAGGTCTTATCCTAAGTAGTTTCCTCTTAAGCTATCTCGTTTAGGGCGGCCCAAGTCAGCTATAAAGGACGTCAGCTATCACGCATGCTAAGGTAACCGGCGTTTCACTGCTGCGTACATCACAGGAGGGTATATGTTGTATTATAAATAGTATAGTCTATGTTTTTAAGATATTTAATAAAATCTCTAATATATAATATTGTAAGTAGCTAAGTATTCAGCTTTACTTTGAAAAACTTGCCAAATATAGTTTCTCTAAACACTACTCGTCTATTATCTGTCCTCTTTACCTTGTCTGCTCTCTCTCCCTTGCTTCTTCGCAATTAGCTTCGCCTCCTTCAGTGCTCCATCGTCCCCTGCCCTTTCGCTCCCTCGCGCAAACTCAAAATCCCCCTTCCTTCAGGCGGATACCATACCCACACGCCTTATGAGCATCCACACACGAAGTCCAGCAGAAGAGGCTGGAACAGAGGAGTGTGTTGATGTCAGAGCTGTTGATGACAACGGCGATCCGCTGTTCCCATAGTGGGAGCCCACCAACTCGGCGGCGCACCGTTCAAAAGACCTTTTGATGAAAGCTGCACGCGCATCGCTGATAGCGTCAGTCCAGTAGACGAACTGAGCTTTGATTTGTACGCTGGTGTTGGTGTCGTGGCTGTTCTTGCCAAGTAGGTATTGCTGGTGGTTTTGACTGTTGGCATTGCGGCGCGTCGTAGCAATCTGCACGCCGACACTAATGTCGTAATCGTTAGGGTCCTCGTACTCCAGTGGTAGGAGCTCGAGATTATCTTCTCCCTTCTCATGTTTGGATTGAACATCGCTGGTCCTAGTCTTGCCAACTCTGAGTGGTGTGCTGACGCTTCTACCGCTGGCTAGGCTTCTTTTCCTGCCGCTGTTTGGGAGTTGAGGACCAGTACTCGTGGTTTGGTAATGGTTGTCCGATACAGATCTCCTCGTTATTGAGTTACCAGTATGTCTGGAATCTTTGGTCTCGTTGTTGGTGGTGGGGATGTTTTCGTCGTCCGTGTCAGTATATTGCAGACTCATGACTGAGCTGCACAGGCCTCTGGGCAATCTGCCTTCCCAGTTTTCTCCGCGCTCATGCATGGTTTCTTTGACAGCCTGCTCGAGGCCAAATTGTTGTGGAAGAGCGTCCAGGTACTGCGACTGTCTCTTCTTGAGTAAATCAGCCACTCGCATACTGGCGTCCAGGTTGGTGGGGCACAATAACATGTTGGTTAACGGACCGACCATGTCCTCGGCTCCTGGGAAGGCGTCGCGGTTTGCTGTCATGTATCCGAAAAAGGGCGACAATGGATGAGTCGTTTTGGCGGCAGTCGATGAGCTGCTGCTCCATTTACCAACAGGCAATGATGAAGATGGCGATGCAGTGGATTGAAGAACTAAACCCCAAACGGTTTGGAAGAAGGTAGCCAGCGTAACGCCTTGCTGACGTGTGAAATGTGGGAGTATGGCGACCAAAGCACGATCTAGGCAGATTTCGAGCGATTTCCTCGTGGGCTTGCGATATCCTGAGACTCTCCCTAGTCTAGGAGTGGTGGTCGATGTGCTGTTGCCTTGATCCATAATGTCTCGCCAATATTTGACGGATTCTTGTGTCTTCAACTTTTCAGACCAGAGGACGTAATCCCCAAACTCTGACGCCTTTGAGACGAATTTGAGCTGCTGGCCGCGGTACGCAATATCCAAGTCCCGGAAGAGAATGCCAGTGGAAATGCCATCGTTGAGTGCATGGCTGATTTCCAGTTTGCAAGCGACCAGCGTACGAACCCTACTGGAGGCGGTAAACAGGGTAAATTGTTGGTGTGGTCGAGCCTTGTCTCCACTATTGACACTGTAGTTAACTGATTTGAAGCCCCTCAAACGCGCTACGAGATCTTCCTCGTCAACGCATGAGATGACCGGTCTTTGCGCGTCGTATTTGGAAAGGAGAACTTGAAAATAACTGTGGTTGTCTCCGGGCATTGGCAGGAAGACGGTTCGCAGAATCGAATGATGGTCTACCACTTTCTGCCAGGCTGTCTTCAGGCGTTCCATGTCGACTTTTCCTTTGATGTAATGCGAAATGTCGACCTCAAAGAGACCGTCTCGCCCTCCTTGACCGAGGTGCTGCTGCTCTTGAGCCGCCAGCATGTGGTGTTGCATTGCCGTGCATGGGTACATATCGAGCACATTGTCCATTGGAATCGAAGACTTCAAGAGAAGCTCCTCAATCGCAGCCAGTTTCTCACGGTCTAGATGGCGTTGAAGCTGTGGGAAATCGCTGATGGTGGAAATCCGAGGGCCATTGCTATCCAGAACCTCGGCCGCCTGCTTCAGCATTGTCTCAGCAGTGGCCACCCACTGCAAAATGCGATCCTGGTGTTGCATGTTCGCGTTGTAGTTGATAGTGATGCGGGCCTGTTCATGGCGTACAGCGGCTGAGATGTCGAACAGGGCAAACCGCTCAACTGAGCTACCAGGTCGGCAGACTTGGTTGTCGATTGCGGTGAACAATGCGTCTTCAGTCTCCAATTGCTGGTACTTGCCGGCATAGTTGAAAAGCAACTCGACCGGCGCAGAGCTTCCAAATCTCTCCTCACCCTCAGGAGCCAGGAAACGGGAGCTAAAGTGAGGCATGCCATTTCCTGGAATGCTGCGGCGAATATCTTTCGTCAACCGCACATTCTCCTTGAGATCGTTTGATAGCGAAGCGAGATAGACGGGACTCATTGTCGTGAACCAACCCACCGTTCCGTTCGGGTCGATGCTCGTGTCCCAGGATTCGCGTCCATGGCCCTCAGAGTAGATGGCAGGTATCGGACGCTCTGAAAAGACAGTCCGGAAAGCCGTCATAAGTGCAGCCAGCATTATATCGACTGGCTCCGTATTCAGAGCTCTGTTGCTTGAGCCAAAAAGCTTCGAAGTGACCAGCTCGTTCAGAACAAAGCCCTTCTCGATCATGGCGCCATACGTATTGGATTGGCCCTTTATACCCCAATAAGCAAGGTCGGTTGCGGGCACTGCAGCACTGTAAGGCAGAACTTCGTGTATGTTCAGGGATGAGGCGTATTGCTCCTGCATCTGCAGCCATGTCTGGAAAGAGGGTGGTGACTCGGTTGCTGATAGTTTGCCGTTGAACAAGAGCTCTTGGAGGTCGTTCAAGATGATGCGCCAAGATACGAGGTCCACGACCAAATGATGCGCTCCAAGAAACAACAGCTGTTTCTCCTGCGATCCGGAAACTTCAAACAAGTGACCGACGAACATGGGCCCTTGCTCGATGTCGAACCTGCCATCAGCTTCCTCCATCAATATTCGCTCAACCTGATCAGAACTTTCGACCTCTTTGACAGAAAAGCCAAAAGAATCGCTCATGCCCGCACAGCCGATGCTCTGCGACCATTGCCCACCGGGACTCTTTCTGAACCTGGCCCGCAACATTGCATGGCGGCTTACTATCGTTTCGAGAGCCCATCGCAAAGCGGCAACATCGACCTTTTGATTGATCTGGAAGAGGAAGCTCTGATCAAAGGAGTGCAGTGCGGACGGATGCCCGGTCATGGAGTCGAAGAAGAGTTTTTGAATCGGAGATAGGCCGAATGAGTGACGGCCCTTCTCTGCTTGTTCCTGTTGCACGATTGCTGCCGAAGGGAAACGGCTGGTACCAATGGGCTTTGCAGCAGCAGCGAGAATCTCCAAGCTCTTTGACTTGAGGATATCCTGCACAGTCAACTCAAGGCCTTTAGTGCGAGCCTGGGTGCGTAACTGCATGGCAGTGATGGAGTCGCCGCCCAAGCTGAGAAAGGAGCGTGTAAGACCGGCACTAGGGTTGTTCAACACACGACGGACCAAGCCTTGGACCACAGCCTCTTGCGGCGTCGATGCTTCTTTATCTCGGTCCTCGTCACTGGATGCGCCTCCTAGCATGAATTTTTCGTAGAGCTCATGGTCCATTGTCTCGAACCACTCTTTCATCCTTTTCCGATCAATCTTACTGTTGCCATTGAGAGGAATAGCCTCAACACCGATCCAAACTGAAGGCACCATGTATGATGGGAGACCATCTACTAGGCCCTGCCTAATGTCGGCCATGTCGATTCCAGCCATGGTGTCGCTTTTCAGTGGCATTATCTCGCCTGTGTTGTCGTCCGAGCTGGAAGACAAAGGAGAAACACCGTGGAAGGTCAAGACCGCCACGAGCTTGTCTTTGAGGGGCCCTATGCGAGGGATATGCGTTACGGCGTGGCGCACTGTCGAATGAGCCATGATATGGTGTTCTACTTCTTCAAGTTCCAGCCGCTGTCCGTGCAGTTTGACTTGGTTGTCCTTGCGGCCGACGTACCGCAAAACACCGTCTTCGTCATACCGGGCCAAATCGCCAGTCTTGTACATTCGACGTGGGATTCCGCTCTTGTTTTTGTTGTTCTTGTTCTGAGCTAGTGCCCAGTGAGGATCCTCAATGAAGGCGTCAGCTGTTTTCGCTTTGTCGTTCAAGTACCCTCGAGACACAGTGGGGCCCTCCACCACTATTTCACCAACGCATCCAAGAGGCGCTATCCTGTTGTAGTCTTCGGCATGGCAAAGCCATAGCTTGCATCCCAGTGGTCGTCCAAGTCGGGCTGGATCACACTCTAGGGTAGCCGGCGGGTTCGCAGACGCGTAAATGGTCGTCTCTGCAGGTCCCCAGATAAGTAAAAGTTTGACCTTCTCGGACCACGTCTCCACATTGTCTCTGTTCGGCGCCTCTCCGCCCAAGACTAAAGTCCGAAGCGAGGGAACCGACTCGGGAATGAGCATCTGTGCTACGGTAGGCGTCGTGAACATCCAGTTTGCTTGGTATTTTTCAATGGCACCAGCGATGTCGTTGACTCGCTCATCTTCTGATGGAATGCAGACGGTCCCTCCGCGCTGTAGCGTGGTGAAGATGTCGGCGCAGCTGATGTCAAACGTATAGGCTCCAAGCTGCATGACCCGGGTGCCAGAATTGATGCCGAATTCAGTACCGTGAGCGCGGGAGCTGGTGCAGAGGTTGCGATGCTCGACGACGATGCCTTTGGATCGACCAGTGCTGCCCGAGGTGAATAGGACGTAGGCTGTATTGTTGGGCATGACCTGTGGAAGAGGCGTCGAGAAGTTCTGTATGTGTTCGCCAAGTTTCTGGACCTGTTGCTCGCCAATGATCAAAATCTGCTCATCGTTCAATGTGCCATTGAACAGACTGGCTTGCTCTGGAGATGCGATGATGAAGCGTGCCTTGGTGTCTTGCAACACCTCCAATTTTCGCGCCATGGGGTGGGAAATGCCCAACTGAGTGACGGCACCTCCTGCCTTGAGCACACCCAAAGCTGCTACAATGGTCCATTTCGACTTTTCGAAGCACAGCGGCACGATATCCTCAGACTGGACATTCCATAACGACACCAGAGTCTCGGCTACGATGGTAGAAGCAGCATCAAGCTCCTCGTACGTGAATTCACCGTCCCATCCCGAGATGGCTGTCGCATGTGGTTGTGTGCGCACTTGATCAGCAAATAGATCATGAACTGTCGAGTCGACCGACTCCCACTGGCCATCTTCATTCCACCTGTTCATTAAAGCCATATCTTCTGGGCCGGCCATGTCAACATCATCCAAGAGTCGGGTTTCCGGGACACAAAGCTGGGCGGTGATTTGCTCAAAGTGGCCGCACATTCTCTCCACCTGCCAAGCAGAAATGACGCTTTTGTCATAACGCACTTCAATTTGAACCCCATCGTCCCTCTGTAGGATGCACTCGACGAAAATCGCGTACGAGTTGAAGAAGCCCGTCACCAAAGTGCTGTCCTTGATCTCCATTAGAGACTCGCCACTACTACGGTCAGTGGCATCGCCGTCCTCTTGTTGTTGAGAGAATATCTCGAAGAGATTGTTGAACTGCAGAGACGCCCGCACCTCGGGTCCAAGTTTCCGCAGCGCTTGAAGTCCGACATGTTGGAAGGGGGTCTTAGAGATCGAACCGTCTTGAATGCGTTGTAAGTACTGCGCAACTGTGAGTTTTCCATCAAGCTTGACTCGCACAGGAACAGTTGTAATGGTAGGGCCGACAAAGTCTTCGACTCTGGCCACCGCGCTGTTGCGACCTGAAAGTGTTTCGCCAAAGACGATGTCGTCACTTTCCATGTACCTTGCTGACAAAAGAGCCCATGCCGACCTCATCAACGTCGACTTCAGGATCCCAGACCTTTTCTTAGCATGCGCCAGATTAAAAGAGAAGATGAACTCGGAATCGGGTTGGGCCTGGTAGGTAGAGTACGGAAGGCGAGGGAAGCTAGCCGGTGCCCCTCCGCCCAACTCCTGACGCCAGAATTGATCCGACTTGGTGGCATCGGTCTTGCTGAGATGGAGGAGGAAGCGGTTGAAGCCTGGAAAAGATGCAGGCACCGGATCACCCCTACATAGCCTCTGAACGACGTGGAGCACTCTCGAAGTGCTGACGCCATCATATAGAGCATGATGGATGGACCACACGAATCGACGCGAACGCTGGGAAAGCGCATAGGCAGAGAGCGGTTGGCCATACTCGATGGCGCGAGAACGGAAACTGTCGTTTTGTGCCAGATACGTCTTGACTGAGCTTCGTATCTCGTCCCACTCGATGACTTGTTCCTTCAACACAACTTGCAGAGATGATGTTACGGGTTCCGAAGATAGGTCATTATTCAAAACTGGGATGATGCGGGTGCGAAGAATGGGAAAGATTTCCATGGCTCGGGCCCACGCGGCCTTGAAATCTCCCAAATTGATGGCCTCTGGAATACTGAAGACGCGCGTCGCCACGTAAGCGCCTGGGGTGTAGGTCGAAATGGCCATGAGCCCCTCCTGGAGTGGCGTGCACGGGTAGATGTCCTCAATCTTTTCTTTAGAGACATTGCACTGTTCCGATGCGTGATCCAAGATGTTGTTTCTTTCCTCCTCTTCCCCATCCAGCAGTGCGAATGGGGCAAGCTCTGCTGCCTCTTCTTCTTTCACTTCTTCTTCTCCTTCTTCTTCCGAAGCGGCAGCGTTTCCGGTCATTGCATTGCTGTTGTCTTGTGCATCCAGGATCGTCGCCATGTCCTTCAGTCGCGGGTGACGGAAGATGTCTGTCACGGTCAGAGCTTTACCGAGCGTTTGACGGACAGCTGTGACAATGCTAATGGCGCGAACCGAGTCGCCTCCCTTCTGAATAAAGTGGTCGTGGGACCTGATGGAATCAGCGGAGATGTCGAGAATCTGCGCCCAGAGAAGTTGGAGTTGAAGCTCTGATGGCGTGGAGCAGGCCGGAGCGAAGACATCGTTTCCTTCATCTCCAGCTCCGTCCGCCATGCGATACTGCAGCAGCTCCTCCGGTGTAAGCTGCGCACCCAGTGATCGAAGAGCCTTGCGGTCACTCTTTCCCGTCTGCGTGACTGGCATCTTGTCCAGAGTTATGAAGAGTGATGGAACCATGTAAGACGGGACGCTGATTCCAAGTTGCTCTCGGAGATGAGCCACGTGACGCCGGGTATCTGCATCCAAAGGTTTGACTCTCGCGACTTGTTTTGCGGTATCAGTGGGGTCAGCAGCCTGCAGACAGATGAAGGCAGCCAAGACCGGCTTCTCCGAACTGTCTCCTTCGTACATCTTTTCTACTGCAACCGTGTGGCCGGGAAGGCTGTTTCGCATCATGTGGTGTTCGACTTCGCCGCACTCGATTCTTCGGCCGTGAATCTTGACCTGGGAATCGTTGCGCCCAACGTAAATCAAACTGCCATCAGTACCATACCTCACTAGATCGCCAGTCTTGTAGATGCGCGTGCCCATTGGGAGGCTGAGTTGGCTGGCAAATCCGGGATCAGTGATGAATGCTTGTGCAGTCAAGTCGGGCCTGTAGAGATAGCCCCTCGCTACAATCGGGCCCTCCACGCATAGCTCACCCACGCAACCAACTGGGAGTAAGCGGTCGTGGTTGTGCATGTCGGTGATCCAGGTGCGACACCCCACACCGAAGCCAATATTCTGGGGCGAGGCGTCGGTGGTCAGTTTCCCGAGCATGGCGAGAACGCTGCATTCGGCGGGACCGTACGAGTTGATCAGATGAACGCGGCTACTCCAGCGGGCATGAAGGTCGGGACGAATTGGCTCCCCGCCCAGCGAGAGATGCTTCAAGTTGGGCACTTCGTCAGGATCCAAAGCAACCGCGGCCGTGGGGACCATGGTGGCCCAATTCACCCCGTACTTGTTGATTGCGGCAGAGAGGTTGTCCAGCCGCTCCGACTCAGAAGGGATGCACAAGCAACCGCCCCTCATCAGAGTGTTGAACGCATCAAAGTTGGAGATGTCGAACCAATGCGCTGCAAACTGCAGTGTGCGCGTCGATTGTTGAATTCCGAGCTGCGGGCTTTGATACCGTTCCATGCTGCTGAACTGGCCGTGTTCAATCACAACGCCCTTGGGCTTCCCGGTCGAGCCGGATGTGAAGACAACCATAGCAGAGTTCCTCGGGCTGATGGCCGACATGACAGGAGAGAGTGGGATCGGCAGACGCTCAATGAAATCATTATCGAGAATGACCATGTTGGGAGTGCTGGGTAAGAGGTCGGCCAGCTGGGGAGAGCAGATGATAGTTGTAGCTTGAAGCTCATCGATAACATGCTGAAGCATTGACGCCGGGTAAGCTGGGTTAAGATTCGTGTATGCTCCTCCAGCCTTGAGCACGGCCATCATGGCAACGACATGCCACCTGGACTTTTCTACGCAAATTGCGACCTTGCTTTCGACGTGAATGCCAAATCCCTGGAGATGAGCTGCAAGTTTGTCGCTCGCTTGCCCCAGCTCCTCGTAACTGAAGTTGCCATCCCAAGCGCAAACCGCCTGAGCTAGTGGTGACTCTTTGGCTCGAGCGGCCACAACGTGGTGAATACACCTCTTGCTGGCTTCTGGCAGAGCTCCATTCCAGCCCATTATCTCATGTACATCGTCACTGCTGGGCAGTACCGTCTTGACTACTTCAGTGAGCTGCGCATGCCGCCTGCTGCAGAGCTGCTCCAGAACAAAGGCATAATGCTTCACCATACGATGCGTCTGTTGTTCAGATATCATGGAAACATCGTGTCTGGCCTCGACGGTGACGCATCCAGTGCTGTCTGTGTCGCAAATCATGACTAAGGGATAGCTGTCGAAATTGTCGAGCGCAAGAGAGACTGATTCCATGCCATTGAAGTCTTGAACTGCATCTTCTGAAGAATTGGCTTGGATCACGAGTAGACTACCGATACTGTCTACAGCGGCTCGCGTCGATTCGCTGATCCTCCGGATTTTATATAGTCCTGTCTGCTCGTATGGCATCATTTCTGTTGTCTGTGTCTGAAGCTGATCCAGATATTGTTGAACGGTGGATCCAGCTCCGGTCATGTCCAGAAGATCGACTCTAACGGGGACAGTGGCCAGTGTCGGGCCATGCATGCTAGCAATTCCGGTAACCGGCACCGTGCGGCCAGACAGCGCAGCTGCGAAAATGACGTCATCGCTGCCGCTGTATTGCGAAAGAGTGACAGTCCATGCGGCGCGGAAGAGGGTGGGAGCAGTGACCGTTCCTTGGCCCGTGACCTTGGTCTTCAGGATGGTCTTGACCACACCATGAACAGTAGGCTTATAATCCACAGGCGTTGGTGGGTATCCCATGGGGGTTGCCTTGGTCACTGGAAACTGCGAGTCCCAGAATGCATCGTGCGACTCGCTGCTGGTCTGACCAAGGTGTCGAATGAAATGCTTGTATGGAATGGATTTAGGAACATCCTGTCCGGTCAAGGCTCCGCGGATATGCGCGACGGTCATGGCCGCGCTCCAGGCATCATAGACTGCATGATGGGCGGACCAAACGAAATATCGGGCTTCAATGTTGTTCACAAAAGCCAAGCGGATCATGGGAGACCCGTAGGTTGTAGGGACCTTGAGATCACTTTCAAGGTAGCTTTCGAGTTCTTGCTCCGTCTCCACCCAATCAATTTCTTGGTCAGTGACGGCTTGTAGGGTTCCCGCATCTTTGGTGGAAACAATGCGCGTGCGAAGAATGGGCTCGGACGCCACCACCGATCTCCACGCCAATCGAAATTGATGTTTGTTGAAGTCCTTTTCGGTAAAACGGAACACTTTCTGGGCCATGTAGGCGCCGCCACCAAGTCGAGCCGAAAGACCCACGAGAGCTTCTTGGAAGGGCGTGCAGGGATAGAGATCCACGATACTAGAAGCCGCAATGTTACATTGTTCAGCTACTTCTGCCCGTATCTGCTCTATAGATGTAGACATTCCAGGTGGCAGCAAATCAAAAGGTCTGTCTTCGACGACAGTGTCAGTGTTTTCTCCACTTTCCTGGACTTTGGACATAGCAAGCGCCATTTCTGATAGTCTGGGCGACTTGAAGATCAAGGGCACGCTGAGTGACATGCCCTGTTCACGGGCAGCCGCAACAAGCTTGATGGCGCAGACTGAGTCACCACCCAGGCGGAAAAAGCTATCGTTGGTGCCAATAGCTTCGGGAGCCATGGTCAAGACACTGCACCAGAGGTTGTGAAGCAGGGCCTCCGTATCAGTTTGAGGCGCTTTCTTTGCCGTGTCGACGAGTGAATAACGAGCAGCCTGGCTTTTGGAGAGGCTTTCGATGGCTTTGTGCATTCTCCGGCGATCAAGTTTCCCATTTGGGGTGCGCGGTACAGATGCGATGGGCACGTACATGGAAGGCACCATGTATTGCGGCAGACGACTTGCGAGTCTTTCCTGGAGTTCGACATGGCCAAGCACCATCTCGTCGCTGGCTGGCATCAACAACGGCGAATCGGCCATCGTTTGTATTGGAGAATCGGACGGATATTGTAGAAAAGCAACAAGTGTCAGGCCGCGTGTATCGAGCCCGGGAAGCGCCATGGCGTCAACCACAACCTTCACCTGGCTGTTGCCCAGACAAGACCCCACTTGGTAGCTAATCTCGCCAAGTTCCACACGCCGGCCATTGATCTTAACCTGCGTGTCCTTCCGGCCGACGATACTCATGCTGCCATCGCTGTTCCACCTGCATATGTCGCCAGACTTGTAAAATCGGCGGGTCTCGCCATTTATATCCATAGCCTGGGTCCACTTGGGGTTGAAGATGAAAGACTCGGCTGTCTTCTCAGGGTTGCCCAGATAACATCGGGCAAGCTGCGGTCCTTCTATCAGAACTTCGCCAGCTGCGCCAAGAGGGAGAAGCTTGTTGTGATCGTTCACATCCACAATCCAGGTTCTGCCACCGTACGTCCGCCCGATGTTACGATGGTGCGAGTTGGAGTTGATCGGTGCACTGACAGACATGGTAATGGTCGTTTCGGCGGGACCACAGCCAAGGACCATCTTAACCCCTCCCGCATTCACCCAGGTTTCGACGGTTTCTTTGGCCACGGGCTCGCCTCCAGTGATGATGAACTTGAGGGACGGCACTTGCTCAGGCCGAAGGAGACTGAGGACAGTGTTGGTCATACTAACCCAGTTGGCCCGCAAACGGCGTATGGCGGCAGCAACGTCGTTCACTCGCTCTTCCTCAGAGGGCATGCAGACACAACCACCCCTTTGCCACGTGACGAAAATATCGTGGGTGGAGATATCATAGGTAAACGAGGCAAAGTTGAAGACTCTCGAGCTCTTGTTCATGTCGAGCCGAGGCCCGATGAGATCCGACATGGTCGACATGGAGCGGTGTTCAATGGCGATAGTCTTGGGCCTCCCGGTGGTTCCTGAGGTGAGAATGATGCAGGCTAGATTGTCGGGTTTGAGCTCCAGACAAGGCGACCCAGCTTTCAAAAGCAGGCTGTCCACAAAGGACGGCTCAATTACAACAAGCTGGATATTCTCCATGTCTTTGAACATTGGCTCTGTATCAGGCGAGACGCAGATGATTGTAGCCTTCACCTCTGCCATGAGATCAACCAGACGATCACGTGGATGAGCAGGATCAAGACCAACAAAGGCGCCACCCGCCTTGGAGATGGCCAACATGGTGATGGCGGCCCAGGCAGACTTGTAGAAGCAGTGAGGTACGATAATTTCGGGGCCTACACCCAAGCTGCGGAGATGGTGGGCAATCCGCGTTGATTCCTCATCCAATGCCTTGTAGGTCCAGGTGCCATCCCAGGACGAGATGGCCTCAGCATCAGGTTGGGATCGCGCATGTTCCTCAATGGAACTAAACATTAGACGGTCTGAGAAAGCCATATTGGTTGCATTGAACTCGGTGAACTTGTCAATGTCGTATGTTCCGACGAGGTCAGCTCCTCCAACAGTCTCGTCGGGGTTGGTGACAATGTTTAGGAGCGCCTGATCGAATGTGTTGGCAATGCTCCGAGCCTGACCCGAGGATAAATGAGCAATCGAGTGCTGCATGCATGCCGTGAGTTTGTCTTTGGAAAAACCAATTTCCAAGCTAAGGGGGTACTCGGTGGGGTCCTGAACAGAGAGGCTTTGTATGAGAATCCCATCCTCGTCCATTTGCTGCTTCTCGTGCTCATTGCGGTGGAAAGATAAAAGGGTATTGAACAAGGGACTGCCGCTCATCCCCAACGCGTGCTGAATTTTGTCCAGACCAGCATGTTGGTGTGGAAGGCTTTTGACAAAATCATCAGCTAGCGTCCGAAGAGCGCTACCAAGTGACATGTCGTTGGCCAGATTAAGTCGACATACGAGCATGGTTAGGAAAGCACCAACACCGTCTTCAATGCCTGGCAGGGGGGCATCTCGTCCGGAGCATAGATAGCCAAAGCAAACATCCGGAGACTCGGTATATACCTTCAACACCATGGCCCAGGCCACTTGGAACAGACTGACAGGCGTGACACTCATGCGCTCGCAAAAGGCTTGAATGGAGGATGGCGAAAGACTCATGTTCATTTCAAACGTCTCAAGCTTGTCCTCGCCAACCGGTTGCTCAAGGGGGGCTAGTTGGGGAACAATGGATGGGAGAACACCGCGTAAGTGCTCAGTCCAGAAGCCAAGAGACGTTGACGCATCCATGCGCTGAATGTATCCAATGTATTCGCCGAACCTGAAGCCAGAGTCGTCCGGAAGATTTCCTCGGTAGGCTAGCGACAAATCACGAAATATGTTTGCAATGGAGCCGCCATCCACAATAGCGTGGTTGATTTGTAGCTGACACACGAGTTTATCATCCGCCACGGCGCAAATTGTGAGGCGATGAGGCGGGTTCCTGTCGTTCAGAGCTACAGCTGTGGATTGTTGGAAGATGCTGTCAACATCTTCATTGCTGCATCGCACAATTGTCGTGTTGCTTGATGTCGCCTTGACAACAACTTGATCGTAGAGGCCACTCTGGGCGCTCTCGAGAAAGACTGTTCGGAGTGAAGAATGACGCTGAACCACCTTTGCCCATGCCTCCGCAAACCGCTCAGCATCGATTGTCGCGCCGCTACCACCAGGTCGGACTTCCATGACGTGGCAGTATTCATACACTGAAGTGTCGGAGAGGCTCTGGCTAACGAGCAGGCCCTGTTGCATCGAGGAGCAAGGGTAGATGTCTTCTACCGCAGCCATGTTGGTGATTCCGGCTCGTGGCAGACGGTTCTTCACCAGCTTGTCCAGGCCGTCATATGACAATGGTAAAAGCGGGAAATCCGGAAAGGGTGCAACTTGGCTGTGCTTTCATGGTATTCAAAATAAGAGCATCGAGGGTGTTTTTGCTGGTTTCAACCCAAGCGAGGATTCGATCTTGAAACTTCATGTGCTTATTGTACACAAACGTGTACTGCATCTGGCCCTCGATGACTTCGGCAGTAATTTCAATGAGCGAAAGTCTGTCCAGGTTCTTACCCATATCGTCCGACTGTGGCATGAAATCAAGCCGGGGCTCTACGCGTAGAGTAGCGTCGGGCCGCTCGAGGGTCTGGAACTGGCCTAGGTAGTCGAATGAAATCTCAATCAGGTCGTGGTCCTTGAATAATTCGGCAGCTCGCTCGTTGTGGAAACGCGATGCGAAGTACGGACGGCCGTTGTCTGGGACCTGGTGACGCACGTCTTTGACTTTCCTGAGCATACTCATAACGTCCTCCGACGGGCTCGCTTCGATGGCCAGAGGATACATGGTGGTAAACCAACCCACCGTGCCTGCGACATCCAAGGATGCGTCCCAGGGTTCCCGACCGTGACCCTCGCGGAATATGGTAGGTAAGTCGCGGTCGGAGAAAATACGGCCAAAAGAGGAGAACAGGGCGCTGAGTAGAAAATCCAAAGTCTCGGTACGCAAGGCCTTGTGCGGCCGGTCGCCTAGAAGCGAAGCCGTCGTTTCCTTGTTTAGTCGGAAGGTCTGCTCTGTAGTTTCGGCGATGATGTTGCTACTTGCATCGATATCCCAGTATGCAAAATTCGGCGGTGGGACCTTGAAAGGCAGCGTCTTCTCCGGCGCGCCGTTTTCGGCTTCGTGTTCAGCTTGCATATTGATCCAATTCTGAAAAGGTAGAGGCTTCACTGCTCCTATGGCGCCCGTACCGATGTACACTTCCAGATCGCGAATGAGGATACGCCACGAAACCCAGTCGATAACGGCGTGGTGAGCAACCATGAAGAGGAACTGTTCTTGCCCCAATTGCAAAAGATCGACCGAGAAGACAGGACCCGCAAGACCCAGTGTTCTCTGTGCAATGGTCGCAACGACGCCGGCATCCTCGATAGACCGCAGTGTGTGGCACTTGAACCGGTAAGCTCCTTCAGCACGAGCCCATGTCTTCTGTGACCAGTTTCCCGAAGCGTCCCGGTGGAAACGGCAGCGCAACATGGAGTGCCTCGACACGATGGCGTCTAGACCTGCCCGTACCACGGCGCGGGGGGTGTTCTTGGTAATACGGAGCCAGAAGCTCTGGTTGAAATGTACTTCGGGCATCTCCTCGTGATCGGGGCGCAGCTTTCTGGCGTACATGCGTTGAACAGGGGAAAGCTGGAACGGATGATCAAACTTCTCCTCGGTGCTGGTTATATCGGACACAGTGGAAGAGCTTTTGGCACTAACCGCCAGCTCATCGAGGTCCTTGCTGCGCAGGATATCTCGAACAGTGAGAGAGATGCCGTGGCTTCGGCATTGAGACATGACCTGCATAGCCGTAATGCTGTCTCCTCCCAAGCCAAGGAAAGACTTGTCATCTGGGATGACGTCGGCTGGAATATTGAGAATACGGCTCAAAATATCGGTGAGCCTCGCCTTTACTTGGGCAGCCTGTTGGTCTCCAGTGGCATTTTGGGGGGTGGCAAGTCCAATGATTCCGTGGTACGTCTCCACCTCCATCTCCTGTAGCCACTTCTGCATCCTTTTGCGGTCAAGCTTAGCTGAGGTGAGGAGTGGCCAGGCTTCGATGGCGATGAAAAGGCTGGGAATCATATACTCAGGCACGTTTCCGGTCACGTGATTCTTGACCGCATCGAGCTGGGCCTTTGCCTCCGCCTTGTTGACCAGACTGATGGCCGATTTGGAGTTCCCGGGTTGCGATGTTTTTGAAAAGCTCTTGAGGGATACGACTGCCACGAGCTTGTCACTACAAGGCCCTTGCTTGGGAAGATGCACAGCGACATGGTTGATGCATGGGTTTCGGGCAATATGATGCTCAATCTCGCCCAGTTCGATACGCAAACCTCGAAGTTTGACCTGTGTATCTTTGCGTCCGATGAATTGGATGGTGCCGTCGGAGTTGAACCGAGCGAGATCGCCTGTTTTGTAGAAACGACGAAAGTTAGCAGCTGGCCCGAATGCGCCTTTGGTCCAGGTTGGATTTTTAATGAAGACCTCAGAAGTCTTCTCAGGGTTATTAAGGTATCCTCGCGCGAGAATCGGGCCAGAGATCAAGAGTTCGCCCACTGCTCCGATGGGTACAAGCCGGTCGTGGTCATCCGCCTGCACGATCCAGCCGAGACCTCCTATCGCTCGCCCTATATTGGCGGGATCGCTATCTGGATCCAATCGAGGATCACCAGCAGCTGCAATGGAGCATTCCGATGGCCCGTAACCTGTAAGAGGAAGTCAAGATCAGAATCAACTCTTGGATTGCGTTTTGGGGACTTAATTCTTACCATTTACAAGTTGAAGTCGAGGTGCCCAGGTTTGAATTGCCGACTTGTGGAGCAATTCGCCCCCTAGGATCAAAGTCTTGAGGGTAGGCACCTCGTCGGGCTTGATGAGGCTCACGAGCGAGGGGGTGAGGAATGTCCACGTGATCTGGTATTGATTGATGACATCTGCCAGGCCTCTTACCATGGCGTCGTTGCCAGGGGTGCAGACACACGCCCCCGAAATCAGCGAGGTAATTATCTCCAGTACGCTGACATCGAAGCTGTACGATGCCAGTTGCAATACCCGGCTACGAGGGCCAAGATTCGATTTGGCCGCGTGCTGCAGTGCTCCTGAGAGAAAAGCACTGTGAGTTATCTGACATGCCTTGGGGATACCGGTACTTCCAGAAGTGAAGATGATGTAGAGAAGGTTATCTGGGCAGACGCCAGTGCGTGGCGTGATTCCAAACTCTCGGAGGCCCTTGACCAGCTCGTCACAGATGACAATGGGTCGGATGCCCATCTGCCGCCACGACTTTTCGTGGTGTTTGTCGGTGAGGACAAATTCAGTGTTGGGGATTTGCTTCAAGATCTCTTCGCGGCGAGATCTGGGGTTGGAAGGGTCGATGAAGACAGAGGCGCCTCCTGCTTTGACGACTCCCATCAAGGCAACGATGGCCCAACGTGATTTCTCAAAGCAGAGCGCCACCATGGATTCCGGGCCGATTTCCATCGATACAAGATAGTGCGCAATACGATCAGAGCATCGATCTAGCTCTTCATATGTAAAGGAGCCATCAAATGCATCAATGGCCATCGCTCTCGGTTGTTTTCTGACTTGGTTCTGAAACAGCGTCTGGGCACAGTTGTACACGGTATCGGGAGCTTGGGCATGATTCCAGCTCCAGAGCTACAAAAGTGATCGAAAATCAGCACATTAGCCGCAGGATGACGTGTCCACAAACATACCTCTCTCATGTCATTTTCACTGACAATATCAACCGAGTTCAGCGTAGTGTCCGCGCCGGCTATGATCAAGTCTATGATGTGGGAAAAGGTTGCGGCAATTCTATCAGCTGTCTTGGAGTCGATGGCTTGCTCGCTATAGTGTAAAGTGCACGCAATTTGGCCGGTTGTAATAGTACATGCAAGTCCTGTGAGGTAAGATTTCAAGACGACGGTGACATAGTTCATCGCGTCTTCTGATGATGCAAACACAGCAACTGTGTTCGACAAGGGGTTTTGCTTTGAGTTTGGGCCTAACTGTACAGCGGGTTCATTACTTACCTCCTCCACTGTTCTATCCCCCATGGACTGAACTAAAGAGGCGATGTTCGACATACCACTTATCGAAGCGGTGCATCTGCTCTGAGTGCGATTTCTCACCGATGGGAAGGAGAAGTCCCCGTCGCCAGAGTAGCACCAGAGTGTGATGGCCCAAGCTGCATTGATTATCCCTTCAATGCCTTGGCCGTTCTCTTGTTGCAGCTTTTCAAAGGCATCCGCGGCCCAGTTTGCGCAAAATGAGGATGTTTTGTGTGGCATTGTGTGTTTGTTGAAGAGATATGTATTGTGTGGCCGTGGATTTGGCGACTTGGATGGTGGAGAAATGTGATTTGGCAAGAGTGAAGTTTGCTTTCAGTAGAAAAAATACTTCAGCGAAGTTTTCAAAAGGTCCAAATCTATTGGGTATGCGATAGAAGTTGGGTATTGGGTACAATGTCAAGGTTAAGAATAATTCCTACGACTCGCGATATTCATAATAGCTCGTTATGTAGTACATGTCGCTACGTAGCCTCACGTGTGAAACTCCATCTTCCCTCATCGCAAAAACCAACACGAATGTTGTGCTTACTATGATTAAGGTACCACGCCCCAGCGCATGTGGTTAGTGACATGACGATAGCCCAGAATTGAAAGTCCGGGCTTATATGTAATCAGCAGCTTCGCCACCGCCAAACATCGAACCAGCGACTGTGCCCCCCCAATTTTCCACCATATTTTCTTCTAGAAGACCTGAGGCTGTGAACATGCTAATAGTGGGGTCTGAATGTGGGGTAGGACGGAGTATATCTGACCACTTAGACCTTAGTTATGCTTACGGCGGCGCTTACGGGGCAAAAACTTACGGGGGCCGAAACCAACAAACCGGGTTGGACGAAGGGGCCGACACTCGTTCACAATACTCAATGCGACGACGAGGAATGAAGTAGCTCTTAGGCTGGAAATGCCTAGGAATGGTGTTTTTTGCACATCAAGTGCGTCACATCTGATTTTTGCTACCGTGCCAGTTGACATGACAGACAGCATTTGACTTAGCAAGTGGCATCGAAAATAAAAAGAAATACGGGGAAAACACAGGAAAATGACGTTCAGACTGCGGCGTGATTACATAAAACATTTGAATCCTTCGGAATACATAATGCTGAGTGTGTCGCAAATTATGCCCCCGTTTCTTTACAGCCACCTACGTCGCCATCTAAAAGCCTTAGTTTTGCTGCATTTATGCCATACAGTGGGTAAAGCATAGCCACTCATGTAGTGTTCCACTTGTTTCAGGGCGATTACTACTGCAAATACGGGAGTTGGTTAGGCGCTCTGTCGTGTGTTGGTAAGTTGGTCTGTGTCCTACTTGCAAACATTTTTCTCGTATCATTCCGGTGGCCGGTATGACAAGTTGGTTTAATGGAGGCGCATTTGATTGCCTAAAGTCTTTAACGGGGTATAGCGTGACTGAGATGCCGACAGTTATTTTTATACGGACTTCACTATGTTCCAGATGATAGCAACTTAAACTCAACATTAAGGCTACCCAAGAAGCTAAAATGCGGGTCTCGATGCTATGACCCGTATAGCTAGATATATAATACTAATGCTGAGCTCCCTAGGTGAACATCCCTACTGCTTCCACTGCACCCGGAAATTTCTCCGACTGTCTCAGGGTTGTCACTCGTCTAACACAATATGTCGAGCCCATCCCCCACTTCAAACTCTTTCAAGTGTGGACGTCCACCAAATTCCGCTTACATCGATCTGATGAAACCCAACGAGGACTGGAGGACGATGGAGGATGCCACCGAAAGGAGAAAAGTTCAGAACCGCCTGGCACAGAGGGCGTATCGTAAGCTTTACTCTTTTTTTCCTAAATGAGTACGCTGGATACTAATGATCGTCGATAGGTCGCAGCCTCCGTGAAAAAAACACGGAAGTGCAGATGCTGAAGAAGCAACTCCAGAAATTCCGCAAGGGAAATGATAGCAGCAGTGTTAGCTCAAGCTCGAGTCGAGGCTCCTATCACAGTCCAAGTCCAAGTCAATTGCCTTCCAACACAAGCAGCAGCGGCAGCAACAACTCCCCTCATTTCAAAGATGAAGATACCTTGAGCAATGGCGAAAGTTTTTCCAGGTCTAAAGGCGACGTCGAAGATCAAAGGCCCGCTGCAAGCAGCCCCCGGTGCTCCGAATCAGACTCATACATGAACGACACGGTCGATATCGACATGGACGCAAGCTCCCTCCATTTCACCACCTGGATGGACAGGTACTTTTCTATGGGTGTTGACGAAACACTTGACACCGCCGGCCCATTACTACCAAACTTTGATCTCCTTACAGCAACAGATTTTGCCAGTTGCAAAGCCGGTACAACAGGTGCCGCACCCCCGGAGTCTATATTCAACAACTGCCAGTCAATAACGAACCCAACCGTCAAGCAGATTGGGACACCGATCGCTCCATCCGACTGGGTGAATTCAGTGGAGGCCGCAACAATAGAGCCTATGTCCTTCAATCCGCTCAGGACTTCCGACAAATCTGGAGCACCATCTCAGCGGAACACAAGATCGTCACATGGATGCTACTGCTACCCCTTCCCAATTTGCAACACCGCCGCCGCCAGCCGCCATCATTGGCGGCAAGTCGGAAGTTTCCCCAGATGTCAGCGCGTCCCTGCTCCACCTTGCAGTAGCGAGTGGCCATCTGGAGACGGTGCGACTACTCATAAGACACAAGAAGTATTTGATGTTGGAACGGGATAGCGAGGGTTACACGCCGTTACAGCTCGCCATAGTGCTCGGCATGACGGACATAGTCGCACTTTTCTTGCAGAACGGTGGTATTTCTTGATTTTGTAGTAAAATCTATTACTATTGGGCTTTTGAAACACGTTGACCTGGGGAGTGAGGAAGATATGTTCCGTGTACTATACAATATTCCTTTGATGGAAGTGCGCACCCAATCCTAGCCACCAGATACGCCTCATCCCACGTAAGCCAACACTTACCGTAAACGTTCATGTGGGGCGGGTAGCATGTAACCGCAAGATCTACGATAAGCAATCCCTGTCTCTTATCCATTTATTGTTAAAAATAGTTTGTACTACATGAAGAATTCGAAAAGGTCGGAGCCTAGGAAGCGCAGCCACTGTACAAAGATAGCTTTTACTTAATTACTGTTTCGTGACAGGATTCTCTTTACTACAGCAGCAAATCGGTCCTTACCTACGCCTTTTTGCATCTCATGCCTGTTATTTCGTAAATTACTTTACTCCTGAAATTAATCCCCTTATCATATTGTTGAACCAATGAATTACAGCTACGAAAAAAAAAGCATTATCGGACTTTGAGCATTTGGATATGGTGGCTTTGACATAATGCATTAATCAATAGCGTTCTAGACTAAGCGATCTTGATTACTTCGCGGTACCCTAAATCCTTGTCTGGTTATTCAAATTGAATTGTTAGTTGTCTCGCTCCATTGTCATTCAAGACGCTCTGCATTCTCAATCACATCGCGTATGTCTTCAAGACTGGGATTTATGCGTCCTATTCATCTAAATCGTTTATGTAGGCAATCGAGGCCCTCTATGGTATAATTTTACTCGGGATATTGGACGTATCTATTCCCCTAGAAACTGATCGAGCCATCATGAGCAGACCCCGTGGGTGATATTGGCACCGTCTCACGATACAAACTATTGAATAAACTGTCTCTGGTCAGCAAAGACCTCGGTTTTCCCCACTCAGCAATCCTTCCACCGTCCATGACTACTACGGCGTCAAAATCCAAGATCGTGTCGAGTCGATGAGCGATGGCGATGACGGTCTTGCTCTTAAATTGCTGGTCGATGAGTTCCTGCATCCGCTGCTCCGTCTCGAGATCAACAGACGACGTCGCCTCGTCCAGGACCAATACGGGGCTGTGTCTTGCTCTTATCAACGCACGCGCCAGGCAGAGTAGTTGCTTCTGACCGTGGGATAGCATCTGGCCCGGCATGGGGGAGTCGATGCCATCGGGTAGATCCTGGAAAACGGGCTCCCATAGTCTAACAAGGTGCAGGGCTTCGACCACATCATCGTTACTTGCCTGACCTAGAGGATCTACGTTGTCCCTCAGCGTGCCAGGAATGAGGAAGGGTCTTTGAGGTAGTACGTTCAGGGAGAGGCGAATGTCTTCCGGAGAAAGTGTGGACGTATCGACTCCGTCTATGGTGATATTTCCGCTGTGTAGGTTCATCATCCGACACAAGCAGGCCACTAGACTGCTCTTTCCGCTGCCGCTGCGGCCCACGATACCGACACGTTGGCCGGAGCGGATATGTAGGTTTATACCTTGTAATATAGGCTGAGAATGCGGTGCGTACGAAGCCGTGACGCTGTTGAAACTTATGGCTCCGTTTCTCGGCCAGTAGAGCGGCGGGGGACTGGGTACTATCTGGAGATTTTGGCCTTGATTCAAGTACTGCTCCTCGGAATCGACTGTTCTGGTGAAAGTCCGGATACGACTGATTGCCCCCGTTGAAGTTTCGAGCAAGGTCCAATTCGTGATGAGCTGTTTGAGAGTAGAACTGAATCCAACAATATTGAGCAGTGCCAGTCCCATGAGTCCCGCGTCAACCTGCCCCCGAGTCTTGACCGCGACTGCAGCTAGGACGACAGCGATGCCACCCACGAGAAGATCTAGTACAAGCCCTAGCCATCTTTGTACGCTCAGGAGGAGGTACGCAGGTCTTTGGGAAACGTTTATGTGGTCTGCGTTACCCCTTAGATAGTCATGCGTCCAGTTGAAAGCCCGGATCGTCACCAAGCCGCCATGTGTTTCCAGGAAATGGTTGAAGAGGGAAGACTTGGCTTCAATGTCCAGGAATCTCAAGGCCCGCGAGGTTCTCAGGTAGTATTTTTGAGTCATGTATGCTGCTAAGATGGAGAATGGCAGCGCTGCACCGGCAAATTTCGCCGTCGACACAATGACAAGTGTCTGTGCTATCAGGACAAAAGTCATCAGAACTGTATGAATGAGCGACACGGGCAGTTCCATGTCCACTAGTTCCATGTCCTGACTGAAGCGGTTAATGAGCGAGCCAGGGTCTGTACTTGAGAGATACGAAATTGGGGCGTCCATGACTGTTTGCAGGATTCTTGAGTGCATAGTCCGAGCCACGCGAGGTGCGATGCTAATGACAAGAAATCTGTCCCCGTTGTTAGTTTGTGATTATCCAGGGCAGTGCCAATGGGAGGGGAAGATGAAACTCACCCACAACTAGTTCCAAGCGAAATAATCGTGAGGGCACCCAGCATGAAGTAGATACCGACGTAATATTCAGCTCTGTCGCCAGGGTTCAATGCATTGTGTGTAGCCCACATCTGGGCCCACGCATGCGGGAAGACGACCCCAAAGCCGTAGAATGAACAGATGGCGATGAAGATCCACCACCTCGTCCAGCCGAAGGTTTTGATATAGTACTTGTAGATCTCCAGATCGCCCACGGAGCTGTCAGGGGCTTCGATGTGGGGGGGCAGTGCTTTGGCAAGCGCTTCGTAAAGGGCATAAGAGACTGGCAAATCATTTTCTTTTGGCCGCCTACTTCTGTCCTCCAGGAATCCGGCGCCATTCTGCAAACTCAGCTTGGAGAGGTAACTTCCTGGGCGAGACACAAGTTCGGAAAAGGAGCCTTGTTCCGTGCTAAACCCGTCATGACCGAGCACAATGATTTGGTCAGCGTCAGGAAGACGATGTACGGCGTTGGTGGTCAAGATGACAGTGATGCCGTGCTGCTTCAGCAACCCATTTCTGGAGAACAGCGACTTGAATACTACTTCTTCGGTCCTAGGGTCAAGGCTGCTGAGAACATCGTCCATGATCATCGTCTTTTTCTTGGAATATATGGCACGTGCCAACGCAATGCGCGTCTGCTGACCGCCACTGAGAGAAGTTCCGTTGCTGCCGACGTTGGTAGCATCTCTTTCCGCAAGTTGATCCAGATCTTCAGTCAAGCCGCAGGCATTCACCACAACTGAATACCACTCCGGATCAAAGGCTAACCCACCAAGAATATTCTGGCGGATTGTTGAATTGGAGATCCACGGCCGTTGCTGACAATATGCCGCATTTTGGAAAGCGACCTGAATATAACCAACTCCGCCAGCAGGTTTAGTTTCGCCCAGCAAAGTCTGCAGGAGGGTTGACTTTCCACTTCCTACGGGTCCAATTATCATGGTGAGCCCCCCACGGGGCATATCAAGATTCAAGTCTTTGAGAATGGGCTTTTCCGTCTCCTTCCAACCGAAAGAGGCTTGGTGGATGGACACGGAACTCTGTGTAGTCTTTTTGGTCGAGGAGCTATGTCCCCAATGCTCAAGAACACTCATGGCGTACATCTCGCCGACTGCCAAGTTCTCAAAAGACGAAGAAGGGGGGAAGTAATGGCGAGAGTGACGCCAACCAAAATCTACTTCGGAGTTGCGGCTAGAGGAAAGCGTTCGGATCAAGGCACCTGCAGGGTATTTGTTCCGTGGCGTCGCTGGCTGATGGATGGTGCCGTGCACTCGGCTGTCGACTCGCGTCTCTGAATTGAGGTACAGGCGGATGCGCTCAAAACAGCCCACTGCGCTCATGACACCAGCGAGAGAGTCGATGAGTATAGCAACAGGTGCGAGAAGGAGTTGGAGGAGAGTGAGACTCATAAGTGTGATTGCAGGGTCCAGTGTCGCGTATCCGCGGTGAGTCTGCAGCAGAATATATATGCCGAACGATGCGACGGGCGCCATGGCGGTAGAGGCAAAGGTGAGAACCACAATTCTGACCAGTACACCCCTAAAACTAAATGAGGCGTCCAGTTCTTTTTCCCTCATCCTGGTAATTCGCTGAGTGAGGTTGCGCGTGAGTCCAGTCATCTTGAGGGAGTGCATTGTGCCTAAAATTGCGGCAGTGGCGCTGACGCGGGCTTGGATTTTGTCCAGCCAGGCTTTTTGAGTGATGCCGGCCTTTGATGCAACAGATATTGCTGCGCCTGTGAAAATAATAATGACTACCGCCGGCGCGACAGCCGCGACACGAAGCTCTCCTGAAAGAAGCCACATGGAAAGAGATATTTCAATAAGACAGGCCCACAATTCATCTAAGTCGCACGTCAGTGTGTGGCTCACGAGTGGGGGGAGTGACTCAAAGTTACTTACGGAAAGCTCTGAAGCCTGTGGTGATCCTTTCGACATCAGTGCCAACCAGCGTCACCGCATCTGCCTCGTCCATATTGAGGCAATGAATCTCGAGAGTACGGGAGTAAATCAAATCCACCAGACCAGCTCGCAGGCGCGTAACGAGATGTATGGTCCATCGCTGGGTCAGCGATGTCGCCAGTGCGATGCCGATGTAGACAATGACATACGCGATTATCAGACCAGTACCAACAGAAGCATTGTTAGATTCGCCGTTAGGACTCTGAATGAATCCAATGACCCGTTTGACGAGAAATGGCTGAGCAAAAACGAATCCCGTCTGGCACAAACGGGGAAGTATAGCTTTACCAATGGCTCTCTTATTGTGCATCAAGCTGACCAGCAAGAGAGAGTGGGCAGCCTCCTTCTGTTTGCATGCGCTCCATTTGGTACTCAGCCGAGTGTTGGTCTCCGTGTCAATGCACAGATCAGCGTCAACCTCGGGAAGCGTCCTCAGTGAGTGACTGTGTCTGTAGCCATGGACGAGCAGTGGGTTGAGCCACCAGCAGAAGGCTTGGCTGAACAAGCCGGCCGTAGACTCCAGAGGAAGGGCTCGATAGGGAGGGAGAAGCATACCCCGTTTTTCGAGCGACTCAATGACGAGTAGGCAAGTTTTGAACGACAGCGAGACGGTCGAGATGATCGCGACGTCCTTCATCGGCTGCGATCCTGACGTCCATAATGTTCGACAACGAGCTCCGTCGAACACCAATGTCAATAATAGAAAAGATGAAATAAGGGACACTGGCCGTACGCTGCGCAAATGAGCAGAGTAAGATAAGACTGCAAGACCGGTATGCGTAAGAAATACCACGATGGAGGCACCAATAGAAGCACGCGTCTTTGGTGTTGAGTTCCGCGCGATGAATCCGATCTGTGCCCCATTGGAAAGAAATAAAAATGACCACAATAACTATCGGGCCAAGAGTCAGTATGGTCGATGCGAATCAATCGAACGAGCTTTACTCACCAATTTTGCTTTCACGTGCCAAGTCTGGCTGACTTTTCTGTCGCATCGCGACAGTGTCTGGAAACAATACAGAGGCACAAGCGCTACGACTATAACAGCGGGGAGAATGGTGAGAATAGTCTCTTCGAAAAGCAGGGTAAAGTCAAAAACCCCTCGGCAGAGGGTCGCCGGCCCGAAGTAATTGAGATTCTCCACAGCGCAGCTGACGGACTTTGGAGCCATGGCGGCGGCGATGGGGCGCAGCCTTTCGAGGTTCTCAAGTAGGAAAAAAAATGGATTAGTCTGGCGACACAGACTTCTTTGATTGCATTGTCAACACTTGCAGGGTTCGAACGGGACAATGCAAGGAGTTTTCTGCGCATCTCAAGGGGGGTGGACGCATGGGTTATCATGCGGATAGATAAACATGATACGGGGAAGTAGCATCTACAAATACATGGTGTGTCAGATCTTACTGTATCTTTAGTAGAGCAGATTACTACGATGAAGCTGACTTGGCGCGGCTTACGACAGGTTGCAGCTAACCGAGGCCTGAGCTGAGGGGGCCAAATTGAATGCACAAAGCTGACAAGGTACTCTGACGTATCATAAACTGCTCATTTAGTTGAAGCAATGAAAAGCAGCTACCATGCACATTGATTTGAATGCGAATATTTTGCGCTTTCGACTTTGGGGCTGATTTTTGCTTTCTAACATGACAACTACTACGCAAACTTTCTTCAACCTGCCCGCGAGAGAGGGCAGCGACTCCGGCGCGGGTGTCGAGTCCGACTACTTCAGCGCTCCGTCGAAATACAACCTGCAGACAAGCTGGAGGACTTTGCAAGATCAAGCCATCACACGGACGTCGGTTCTCGATGTTTTTGCCAACAGAGTTCCGGTGTTGAGAGAGAAGAGCTTCCTGTCGGCGGCAGAATGCGCCAGGATGCTCGAAATTGTGGCCTCTCACGAAATCGTAAGTAGTTTGTTTTATTATATCATGTCACATTGTTCTTTCATGGTCTGATTAGCGGCTGCGTTATCTAACCTTGATTTATTAGGGGAGCTATGATACTGAAACGACCTGGCCACGAGTAGGCGTCGCGGGGATAACACAGTATGATCATATCAAAGGTAAGATACTATCCTCGTGAAATACCAAGTAATTCCTTCTCCTGTAGCGACTAACCAATTTTCTCCTTCACTTCAGATAAGCCCGCGTACTTCGCAAGCACGCCAGCCGCTTACGCCCTCCAAAATCGCTGGAGGGACGAGGCCGGCATCGACGTCCTGCAACGCGTAGCCTCGAAACTACAAGAAACTACCGGGATGATGGTGCAGGTGGCACGCGAAGAGGACGGCAGGGAATACTATGCCGGCATCCTAAGGGCGGTCGACGCCGGCATGCATGTGCACGCTGATTTCGCGCCTTATGTAAGTTCAATCAATCTGAAATCTTGGCGTATTAGCACGAAAAGTCTCAACACTAAAGACATGTGTAGGAGGCTGTGGGCTGGTCTGTCAGCCAGTCGGTCGCGCAGCTTACCTGGAACATCCTCCTCAACCAAGTGCCCGGTGGTGACACACTGATCTACGATAGACAGTGGCGCGCTCCGCAAGACGACATGGCATGGCGAAAGGAGTTTCCTAAAGATTCGTACCATCCGCAGATGCTGGAGGGTCACACCTTTAAGGCCATGAAGCCTGCTCCAGGTGACCTGACATTCTTCAACCCACGAAATTTTCATGAGGTAAGAGCATGCGACACTTCAAAGGAACATCCCAAGTCGGCCGTCAGATTCACCGTGAGCTCATTTGTAGGTTATCTTCCGGCTCGGGATGGGGAGTCGGAGAAGTTGATCCTGTGGTCTTGAATCGGAGTGAGTTGAAGGGCAATGGTTGGCATGGGCGTTCCCAACTGTTACAAGTATATATCTACGAGAAATTTTAGAGAGCAATGTCATAGCACACGAAAGCCTTACTGATATTGAAGTAATGAAAAAGAGAGAAGATTCTTCGACGAAAGATTGCTCACAGCCGAAAAGTTAGAAGTGTAGCCTCCTTGTGCTCAAACTCATAAGTAAATACATTGGGTGGATGGCTTGTTCTCTTCAAATCATACGAATTCATCCAGGGTAACATGATCTATTGCAATAACCGCACAATCTCGTCATTTCCCAATTTCTTAGCAAGATCCAATGCCGTCATGTCCAGCTTATTCTTGTACTCCTTGGCAGCACCCTTCTCTAGGAGAAATCTGACTGCCTCGGTGTGCCCTTGCCCGATTGCACAATGTAGCGCCGAGCCCCAGTCCTCTCTTTCTCGTTGCTGGGCGACTGTAGTGTACGTTCCGTATGGGTGTGCATTAACGTTAGCGCCGTGGTCTACCAGCATCTGCATGATTTCAATGTCGCCGTTATGGGCGGCGTGAAGAAGGGCCTTGGGCGCCCTCTCCATCGTTGCATTGTGCGCGAGCAACAGTGCTGCCATGTGCTTATCACCCCTAATGCAGGCCAGCTCGAGCGGGTTGTTGCCCGTCTGCGAGCCCTCGTCTACGGCGGCTCCCTTCGACAATAGGTACGCAGCCATTTTGAGACAGACAATACCGCCACCAAGATAATCCGGGTCACTACCTGATTCACCGACGGTGTAGACAAGGGCGGAGCCGACATGCTCATAATGTTCGTCGATGTTCCAGCCGTGCGCTAATGCAATGTCGATGGCTTTTGTATTCCATTCGTTGTCCTCTCGTGCCCCCTCCAGGACATCAGCCATAGTCCCATAGTTCCAATCAGCACCGCGCTTAAAGAGCTCGTCGGCCATGTCGTACCGGGACAGCTCCAATGCTCTTCCGAGGGATTTTCCTAAGTTGGCATAAGGGAGGAAAGCATTGGGGTCTTCGGCTAAGCGCTGATTCAGCAAGTTTTGGAGGAAGGTAATGTCGTTTGACTCGACAGCGGCGAGCGCACGCGCATCGAAAATCTCTTGTTTTCTGCCCCTTTCGTTTGCCATTGGTTGTACGGTGGTGAGAGCGGGTTTGGAATGTACAATGACTTCAGACTGGGTATTTAGATTATTGAGTTATTTTTCGTTTTTGCAAACAACGAGAAAATAGAAAAACGGTGGTGATGGGAGGAAAGAGGGAGGTGGGAAATGGAAAGTTGGGTTGTATATTAGGCAGCCACCCTGTGCAGATCTTGCCCCCTCTCAGCCTTAGCCGGATTCGACATGCTGTCACGTGACCGAACTGTGCCGCCTTGTGTTTGCCTTACTGCGCGGCATGTTAGCAACCGTGACTATAAGCATAGTAACACCGACTTTCTGTTCTCAGTAGTGTTGTAATAGTAAAAAAGACTTTGATGATGAGCAGGACGCCAGCAATGGGCCGCCTGCACTACATGCCCAAGCACAGTACTAATCTTTTGCCTTTTCAGACTTGCATGATAGTAATGAAACAAACAGTGGTGGTAAGTATCAGAGCTTTTGTGCAGTGTAGTAGATGTCTGTATTGTACCCGGCATTTACCACACAAGTTACCTATATTAGTGCGGTCTTGAAGTCCAGAAACTTGATCATCATCAGCGCCACAATCACCACAATCGTCAACTCAACTACTCAACTCTACTCTGAAACTTCAGTACAGACAAGCCTAAAACGATAGTGTAAGCTTCCATCACCAACTACTTCCACCATGAAGTTGTTATCTGTTATCGCCGGTGCCGCTTTCTTCACCACCTCCTTCGGTGCACCTACTGCTGCAAACAATGTCCTCAAAGGTCGTGCACCTCCGGCGCCTCCTGGTCCCCCTCCCCCACCGCCGCCACCTACTCCACCTCCACCCAGCGAGGCCGATGTGAGCAGCCACCTAAAAAGCATAGGAAAGGACACCTGTCTCTTCTACGCCAGGGTCGGCAGTGAGGAGGATATCAAAGCAGAACGCAACAAACGGGACTATCTCCAAGGTTACCAGATCATCAAAGAACGGTGGACAGACCCGAGCTGGCCCGACCAGGCCAAAAAGAACATGCCCCCCGGGAAACCCGGAAAGGGCAGGAAGTTTTTTGAAATGGCGTCTAGGGTCCTCGCCAGGGGATGTTCTGGGACAGTTTATGTTCTGTTGCCTTCTGATACGAGCGGCACAGATTGGGTAACAGACACGGTTTGGCACCAACAGGAGTGGCCCAACCTGCCCCCGGTCGTTACCAAAGTCATCCGTCTCAAGATGGACGACGCAAGCCATATGGAAGTCATCTGGGGCAGCTCTTCCAAGCGCAACGTGGCCCCCATCCAGGCACGCGCCGCGAACGATAAATGCGCCATCTCCCTCAATCAGTGGGACAATGACCAAACTGATGGACCCGGGGACCGCTTCGACCTTGAGTTCGACGTGCGCAACAACAACGGCGTTGTCCTTGGGCATCAAGCCCGCGTCTCCGTGGGCGACTGGAACCCGCTGCGCTTGCTCGGCAGCAGCCTAGTAACTAGAATTATCGTCATTCCTAACGGCGACAGCGTCGGCTTCTGGTACTTTGGTCGCTACTGGAGTACCAACGACAGCCGCTGCAAGCTAGGCAACTGGGTCGATGACGCAAACAATGCCCGCCACCGCGAGATCAACTGTGACTTTGACTGCTGAATGGCGCTCTAGATCTTGTTGGATTCATTGATCTCGTTGGAGTTTAGTGAAGGAGTTTATGGATTGTTCGTGTTGCTGAAATTTCAGTTCAGCTTTGTGTTTTTTTATTTTGGGAGTCTTATGTTTTGAGAGGTGATGATGAGGTGTATTGAGAGAACTGACCCAACGTGGCGGTGCTATACTAGATGTTTTCGTCTGTTCAACTTTTCACTCGTTTAGTTCATAGAGTCTGATATTCAATTGATTTACCTCGTATAAAAAAACCCTGGTGGTACGAAGTCGATTGATTGTGAGACATCGTGAGGATTGCATATAGAGCACGTGACAAAGTAGCTGACAAAGTCACATAAGTGTTCTCGCGAGACCACATGCAGTATCAAGATCGCCCAAGGTACCGAGAAAGGCAAACATGCGCTTAATAGACACAAGAATCATATCGTCTTTAGAAAACATTACGATTTTTCCATGCATCAGCAGAAAGGCCTAAAAGAAATTTAATTAAAAGATTCGGCGACAGAAGAGCGTCAACGCGCAAACAAATAACCCTTTAAGTAGCATTAAATAACTTATCATGTGTCTTTTTTATCAACTCTGCTTACAGTAAGTTAGTCTCCAATTTATTTTCACAGCCCTATTTGTATAGGAGCCCTGGGCTACATCTAGCGTGTAGCTTAGATGAACAAACTCTACCTATCGTACTTTTCTCATTATACTATTACTATGTGTTTTCTAACAACGCTGACATTTTCAAGCTCGTCTCATAGCGTGTACAGTCCCTTTCTACTTTGAATACCAAGTCCCGTCGTTGATCATCATTTCAGTTCACTCAGACCTCCACTTCTCAGTTCCCGACAAGTCTCTACAGCGCTTGCACGCTTTGAAATTAGTTGAGACTATAGCGGGTCGTAGCATGATTTGATTAAAATTCCTGAAGCTGCAAGGACTTTGTAATGAATAGTAATAAAGTTGGTATATATCTATCCGCCAGCGCCACTGCCACGAACGTAAAAATAACAATGAATGACATGCTAGCAAGGAAAAGAGTCTATGTGCAGATAATCAGTCTTAATATATAAAATACAAGTAGAAAATCACCCCAACCATACTATTGTACTTCGGCTCTTCTCGTGAATTGTAACCAGGGCCCATTCTTCTGCCCAGCAATGTGATCGTACAACTGATACTCGCCCTCCCGATGTCTCCCATCCACCCCAAGTTTCCTACTCCCACGGCCCACGGCGGCCAATTCAGCGTCAGCAACCAACTTGAAATCGCCAAGCCACAGGAGATGGCCGATGGTCAGTGTCACCTCGGTGTACGCCAGCCCTTTGCCGAGACAACTCCGAATGCCAGCCGAGAAGGGCACAAAGCAGGCGCGCGCGTGCGCGCTCTCGTCCGGTGCCAGCCATCTCTCAGGCCGGTAGACGAAGGGATCTTCAAAGGCGCGCGTGCTGTGGTGAATGGCATACGTCCCCACACCGACCTCGCAACCCATCGGTACGACGTGGCCGTCGACGACCAGGCCGCCGGGGGCCGCGACCTCGCGCATCAGGCCAGTTCCCACGGGCGGCGACATGCGAAGCGCTTCGTCGATACAGGCGCGCAGGTACTTGCATCCGGCCAAGTCTGCGGCTGCGAGATGACCGGGGCGGGAAGAGCGCACAGCCCTCACCTCTTCGGCGACTCGCGCATAGGCGTGTGGGTTGTTGGCTAAGTAGAAAAGAATCGATGCCGTCGCGCAGGCCGATGTGTCGGATCCGGCGACGATGAGAGTAGTGCTCTCGCTGGCAATTTCATCGTGGCCGAAGCCCTCGCCCGTGACGGGGTCGCGGGCGTCCTGCAGTCGGCTGTAGACGTCCAAAGAAATGGAGGGGTTTTCGAACACACCGCGTGCAGTGCCGTGGCTCAAAGCCCTGCGGTCACTAAGAAGACGGAAGACGAACTTCAGGAAACGGTTGCGCGCGTAGATGGCTTCCTGGAAGAGGTGTTTGTCTAGGCGTAACCAGGTCAGGCCCGGAAATTGGACCAGAGAAGAGATCCTGACGTTTGACTTTTCGATCATTTCTGGCACGTAGCGGAACTTTTCGTCGCCGAGTAAGTTGTACTGCGCTCCAAAGACGACGTCCGTCATGGAATCGAAAGCTAGGTAATTGCACCATTTAGCCATGTTCATGGGTTCCCCCTTGAAGACAGCATTGCAGAACTTTTGAATGTGCCCGACCAGACGTGGCTCGTATTCCAGCTGAGCTTTGGTTGATACAGCCTGGGCCATGATTCGACGACGGCGGAGATGCTCTTTACCGCCCCGGTGAGTGAAGGTGTTGGCAGCCTGGTGAGTCATGACTTCGTAGTGGGAGCTCTTGAGGAACTTGTTAGACGTGGTCGGGCCATAAACGTCGCGTAGACCCTTCGGCGTGTTGACGTAGAGCTGATTCGGGCCGTAGCGCATGTAATCGCCATACTTTTCGTGGCATCTCCAGATATCGATGTGGATATCGCCTCTCCAAGCGTAATACGAAGCTCGAGCACAGGTGAACTTGGAGAGAAAGGGCCCTGGGTACTTGGCCAAGGGATGGAAGAAAGCCAGATAGATAACTCGGGCAATCAACTGCCAGAAAAATGTAAGTCTTTGATGAGATTGCTGCGGAAGCCGTGCCGAATGTCAAGCACCTTGAGATCTTGGTTCACTTACGTATAGTAGTGTCACTGCGACGGCAACGACCAGAACTGATAAATAGTTCATTATTTACCGAGCCAAAGATAAAATTGTACTGTTGATGTTTTCCAAACAATTCAAGATGATTAGCGTCTTGACTACGTGCTCTTAAGCCTTTGCGTTTCTAGAAATACGACGAAGCATTTGTCAATGCACATGTTTTGCACTGCAGGGCATGATGACGACTAGTGCTTCTGCTTTTAAAATCAGCCATTGTTTACTAGTAGTTTAGTGAAGAATATTTGTGGTCAGCACAGATGTAGTAAATATTGGTGGGAGGGAGCACATACATGTCAGATGCGGCCCCCAACGCCAGTCAGAGATACTGTCAGGAAATAGTAACCCAGCTTCGCGAACCCCGAAAGATTATCGCGACACTGAAAGGTCATCGCGAAGAATTATGATGCTCTATGATTTACTATTATCGCCTGTGAATTTTACTGCTTGTGCCCCGCCCCTGGCGCAAAAAAAAGTATAGAAGAATACAGATCACGTGTACGAACATCTCTTACATGTGAGTGTAAATTTGCTGCTAATTAGGACAAGACTGATCGAGAAATAGAAGGCCTTTTGGTAGCAAGAGAAAGAGGTAGCATATGGATGTATATAATCTAGACGACCGCAAAAATTTAAGTCACATGTAGAAAATATTCGTACATGTGATCTAGATTTTCCTGCATTTTTTTGCGCTAGGGGATGGGTATGGGCAGTAGAATTCGCAAAGCACTGATAATACATGATTTGACCCCCTTCAGGTTGGCTTTGACGCCTTCCATTCATCGTACAAGACTAACAACACCTTGACTACAATATCACTCAGAAGCACGCGCTGATAGAGGGACTTCATGACACAACTGGATGTTAATAGAGCAAGGATCACACTGACGCACGATTGTCTGATTTCCCCACTACATAGATCCCTGACCAAGAACCAATTGAACTTAAAGCAACCATTGAGAGAGAGAGAGAGAGAAAGCCGTGGGGTACCGCGGCTACAACACGCAATCGAGAAGAGCAACTTCACCAAAAAACCCAATTCAATCTCCATTTCTTGTCCTGCTTTACCAAAATATCTCCCCGAATGCAACACTAAACCACTCCGTAGACCTTTTAGGCGATACAATAGATACCGGCACTCACAAATTAGAGCTGGTATTCAGCAGAAGACCTCTTGGCAAGGGGGTTCTGCTGTTGGGGTCCGGTGAATGCACGGGAGGGGTCAAAGACGATAAAGACACCCACAGCCAACACCATCAAGAATCCATCGAGGGCGATGAAGTACTTTTCGTGCATCATGAGGTGGCCCTTCCAGCCCTCGGAAAGCTCAACGGTTCGGAAGATGTTTCGAACGTAAACGGCGATGAGCGACACGAACATCGCGATGAGGACAAAACGGTGTGGACGGGCGAGCTTGTGGCCGAGCGCTACAGTCCGGCGGACAAAGTCGATGGCGAGGATAGCAAAGGCCGTCATGGCGATGAGCTGGAACGCGACGCCGCCGATCATGATCTTGGTCCCTGGCCAGGGGTCCTCAAGGTTGCTGGACGCTATCGAGGCCATGGCGCCGCCGACTGCCTGGATGACGAGCGAGACGAGGTCACATGTCAAGAACACGATGGCGTACATGCGCGGTGAGAGGAGGCTTGATCTTTGCCCCACAAGCACTATGAACATTCCCAGAAGGACGTATAAGGCGCCCGTAACGAAGACGGGGGCGATGATGAGAGTCGTGATCTGCATGAGGTAGGCGTTGGCGTTGTAGGGACACGCCGACGACCAAGTGCGGCCGGCCCAGCCGATCAGCTCAGCTGTTTGGAAGACTTTTGTTAGCCATCTTATTCTATTGTTTTGTGTCTGTACTGATTTTTCTCGGCGTGGTGTTTAGTGCGGGCTGACTCACTCAGAGCACCAACGGCGAGAAGGATAGATGTCCATCGTCTCAGTCGAAAAGCCAGAAATGTGTGGACAAAGAGTGCGAGAGCGAAAAGAAGTGAGAAGATGACACCCGCGGCGAGACTAGGCCTGTAGCCGTACGAGTAGGGCCAGCCTGGAATCGGGTCTGCATGGCAATTGTTGGGGTTGCGAATAGGCAGCGGAATCCGAGATAGGTCAATCATGCTGAAGGTGGATCGTTTTCATCGGGAACAGATAAATTTTTGAAGTTGTAACTATTCTTATGGCGATGTGGAAAGTGTTGTGCAATCGGGTCAGCATGAGAGATATGGATAGAATAAAAAGCAGAAGTCCGAATAGCCGAGTACATGGAGCGCATGGCACGAAAGCGTGTTTCCAACAGTAGTAATCCAATAGTAAGATCCAAGAGTACTGCGTGGTGCAGTTATGCAGGCGGCCGCAGTGGCGGAGCTACACTGAAACATGCCAAGGAGTTGGGGGCTATTGCGGCTGAAATTTTTGGGGTGTTCTCCCCTTCGAAGGACTAGGGTTCGCAGCCAATGAAAGTCAGAATGCCTCCAACGTTAACACAGTAAGCATGCACATCATGAGGCGGCAGCGGCTACGAAGATCAGTGGCGCAATAACTTGATTTCGGTTCGCGACTCATGTTTGCCCTAGCATCCGGATAAAACAAACAAGCTCCTGTCTGTTGTGTGCCTTCGATACACTGAATGAGAAAGCCATGCGCCGTTACTATTTTGAAGTAATTGCAGCACGCAGCGGCTGCTCTGAGATGTCTTTATTACTCTGAATCCGCGCAACCCCAATTCGACCTCTTCCTTGAAGAATTCAGGGTTGTTTTTCGGTCAGCACGTATCGGCGGTGATACGGCGCTTACTTTCGTGTCACATGTGGATCTTCAGCTGACAGGATCTGGGGTTCGGGTTTGCAGTAGCTGCAGTAAGCCGCGGCGTAGTAAACAATACCTAACACAGCCACCGCCAGAGAAAATCAATCAAAGCCTCGTTAACCCCCGCTTCACTCTGATCCAAGGTAAAGTTAGTAATATGATGAATACCGAACAACTTCAATTACATGTAGTAATCAGTGATATGGAGACTTTTACGTGAAATCCTCGTCGGTATTTATAGGCACCTAGAGTGACCCTCCACAGAGCTACATTGAACCCATACCTCGCACTTGGCCACAGTTTTGTCCGGAGTTTATATTGGCCTTATTGCATGCAGTTTAGATCAAAATTTGAACATGTCGCCTCCAAGTCCAAAGGCAGATTTCGGTAAGTTACGCCTTTGAATCGCATAAAGCCATGGCAATAGACTCAGACGCTAATGCATTCTTGTAACTACACCAGATTGGGAGAACTTTTCTCCAACCAAGTTTATCCCAGTTAATGGTCACATCGAGGCCCGCTTTAGTTTTTCCACGGGCACATGGAGTGCGCCCACTCTCGTGAGCGGTACGGATATCTCCATCTCAGGCCTCAGCCCGGCCTTGAACTACGGCCAGCAATGCTACGAGGGAATGAAAGCATTTCGCACTGCGGGGGGGAGGGAACGCATCGTGATATTTCGGCCCGAATTCCACGCCAATCGCATGGCGGGATCCGCGGCGTCAGTCTGCCTCCCTCCACCCCCTCAAAACCTGTTCCTTGAGTGTGTCCGGAAAGCAGTGGTGGAAAACGCAGAGTATGTCCCACCGGCGGATTCGGCGTCGTCGTCATTTCTTTACATCCGACCTCGTGCTGTTTGGATCATCTACCGGCCTGTGGGGCCTGTGCGACGAGGTGATATTAGCGGTATACGTCCAACCGGCGAGGCCCCATCATGGACAAAAGGCCATGAAGGCCCTCGTCAGCGATGAGTTTGACAGGTCGGCGCCGCGGGGAATGGGCAGATACAAAGTTGGCGGGAATTATGCTCCGGTAAGTCACTGAGTAATCACAGAGGCGATGCGCAACGTCGCGAGACCGATTTTCTGATTTATACGTCGAAATGCTTTAGGTATGGAGACATATCGGGAAAGCTTCAAAAATGGGCTATGATATTGTGCTGCATCTCGACAGCGCGACACACTCCTATGTGGAAGAATTTTCGACGAGCGCTTTTTTGGGACATAGAATCGCAGACGACGGTCAACATGTGCTCGTTATCCCAAAGGCAGATAACGCCATGGACAGTACGACGAGCAAGAGTCTTGCCGTACTCGCTAAACGGGAGGGATGGATCGTCCAAACAGTCGAGGTAAGTACAGTAAGCTTGGTGACGTAGCGACACGTTTTGTCTTCTACCCGTTTCTTCCACAATACTATGACAATGCTAACACTAGGAATTACTTGACAGCTTCCATTGTTATCAATCAAAGATCTCGACGAGGTAGTAGCATGTGGCACAGCCGCATGTGCTGTTCCGATCGAGAGCATCGAAAGACTGTCGACCGGTGATCAGTTCACATTTCCTGGTAATCATGAAACCTGGAATCTCATGAGGCTGGGCGAACACTATGAATACCATACAGCGCGGCAAAGCAGATGACAAGGAAGGATGGTGTTGGGAGGTTTCAGGGTTTCCGGAAAAAAGTCGTGCCCAACAAGATGCCACGTTGTCCACTATAAGGAAAGGTAACGACGCTTTCCTCCCCTGGAGGTCATTGCTGTCGATCGCTTTGGTTCCTTTTGGTCTAGGTTCTTTTTTTGTTTTTGTATATGGTGCAGGGTTTTTTTGAGGGGCATGATGTAGCGGGGTGTAAGTAGCGGATACGAGAGGTGTACTGTACAATTCTGCGTTGGCAATAGTGAAGGGTATAGAGATTTAGCGATTGCAAGCATCTTGATGATGTTCAGATTAACAATTTTGGTTATAAATTGAAAGAGTAAACGTTGCGTAAGGTGGACAGACCAGTCAGTCCGAGTGGGGCAATAACTCACGGGAAGTTTAAGGTTACGTTGCTTTCTCTCGCTCCTAAGATGATATCCAGACATGCCAGGTTCATCGACCCCGTGTACAATGGAAGCCGAAACGCTGCTCAACGATGCGCTACCGAGCAAGGTGCTCGTGCCAAGTGACGAGCAGTACGGAATGTCCAACAGCGCCTACTTCACCGTGTTCGAAAGCGACCTAAAACCCGCTTTCATTGCGCAGCCTACGACTCCTGCAGAAGTCAGTCGCATCCTTCAGGCACTCAACCCTCTTCTTGAGCAGCAGCTCATTTCAATTGCTGTTCGCGGTACTGGGCATACACCATTTGCTGGCAGCGCGAACATCGCGGGTGGCGTGACAGTGGACATGCGGGGTCTCAAGGGCATTGCGCTGAGCGATGACAAGTCGACTGTCGAGATCGGCGTTGGCGAGAAGTGGGCGTCGATCTACACCGAGCTCGAAAAGCACGGTTTGACTACGGCAGGCGGGAGAGTTGGGAGAGTTGGTGTGGGCGGACTCGTCCTTGGTGGTAGGGTCGCCTGTCCATTTCCGCTGAACACTGTTGACAATCTCGCAGGCGGATTGTCGTTCTACTCCACTCGCAAGGGATTCGCGTGTGATTCTGTGACAGAATTCGAGGTCGTGCTCGCATCCGGTGACGTTGTTCGCGCAAACAACGAGGAGAACCATGACCTTTGGATTGCGCTTCGTGGCGGCTTGAACAACTTTGGGATCGTCACTTCCGTGAAGATGCGCACCTTTGAAGCGAGCAAGTTGTGGGGTGGCGTCGCTTACTACATGCCCGACACGTTCAGCCAGCTCGCAGAAGCGACCGTCAACTTCGTCAACAACGAGAGCGACGAGGATACACATATCATGTCGAGCGCCGGCTACGGCTACGGACACCGAGTCGTCACTTGCTGCCTGTATCACACCAAGGGCATGGAAAATCCTCCATCGCTGCAGCCGTTTACATCACTATCTGGGCGCATCGAACAGCACGGTACCTTAAGGACTGGTACACATATGCAGTTTTGCGACGAGCTCTCCAAGTTTACGCAAGACGGCGTGCGGTCATTCTACGCCACAATAACCGTAAAGCCAGATGTGTCTCTTATGAAAGGCATCCACGACAAGTGGGTAGAAGTACTAGAGGCGTTGAAAGGCGCAGATGGCTTCATCTTCTCTCTCGGCTTCTTCCCAATGACCAAAGCCATGTTTGTCAACTCACGCGATGCGGGAGGAAATGCAAAAGGAATTGATCCTGAGGACGGGCCTTTGCTTATCATGATGCTGAATCCAACATGGAATTCGTTCGCAGATGATGAACGCATTCACGATGGTGTCGAAAGGTTGTTGGCGATGAGCAGGTTGATGGCTGACGAGAAGGGTCTTCTCCATCGCTACGTCTTCACAAATTACGCGTACTACAAGGAAAATGTGTTCAAGGGATATGGAGAGAAGAGTTTGGCTGCGCTTCGGGAGACCAGTCGGAAGTTTGACCCCAAAGGCATTTTCCAAACTGCAGTTCCTGGTGGCTTCAAGCTGGCTAGTGGGTCACATTAGATAGCAGATGTGCTTTCACAGGTGCATATTTTAGTTGGCATCAACAAATTAACATAACAGACTGCGTTCGTTGACGGACAAGTTGTTGTTGGCTTCTGGAGCTACCTCACGATCACGCGAGGGATGTCGGTATGAGGCGCAGCGAGTGGGTCGGGCGTCGGGCGAACGCAACATTCTGCCTGAATTCGCACAGGCAATGGATCGACCAAGACGGCTCTCCACCTGTAACGTTATCGTCAGCCTTTCAACGTCCCCTGAGGAAGATCCAAGCCTTCTTCTACAATCTCCACCACCGCTTCCCAACCCCAAAGTCCATGCGCTCAGCGCACCCACTCTTCTTGGAGGCGGCATTTGCAGCGCTTGTCGCTTCCAGTCGGTGCGTAGAACAGAATCTCGATCTTCTCAATCTGGCTGTCGGGCTTGAAGTCGTTCCACGTGCGCAGCAGGAACGAAGTAGTGTCGTCGTGCTTCAGGAGTGACGAACCGCAGCGGAACGGATCGCGATCATCCATGATGAATTGGTAGGAGTCAGCGTGAGATTTGGCACGGAGGTAGAGGCCACGTAAGTGAACAAAGGAAGTCAACGCGTCATGGGCGCTTATGGTGGTGGATGTGGGTGCTGCGCTTGGGTATGGCGATAGCGAGGAAGAGACGAAGGTTTTGACAGGCTCCACCGATCGCAGTCCGCTTGGGTGAGAGAGCAAGGATTTGAGCCGCGCGAGGCCAAAAGAATGTAACCTTTTTAGTTTTCGTTTCTCGGGGGGAAGAAGTGTCGCTGGGCCGGATCTCACGATGGGTGCTGTTGGTGGAACGTCTGGCCATATCGTGCCTTCACCCTTGCCATCCTCCGCCGGAACTAATCGCAGTGTTGCATGCAAGATGTTTAGTCGGGGTGCTCTCCTCCTCAATTCTAGGAAGTCTCCTGACTCCCACGAATCATTCATCTTCGTCTCCGCAAAAACATGTTCCAGCGTCGCTCCATGCTGAGCGAACAAAACTGGTCGAACATGTCGCATCTCCTGGTCGTCCCAGCTATACATCTTCACGCTTTACAAAGCAGTAATCGAACTCAAAAACGCTGTAACGATGTCCAGATCCCCGGCGCAAGTCCAGAGGTGGCTGGCTGTCCCGGTCCCGCGCCAAAAGCCAAAGTTGAGCACTTCCAATTGCGGTACATGACCGTTCAGGGCTTCGAGAAGATACTTTGAGCTTCCGTAGCCGAAGTCTAGCTTACATAGCTGACTCTAGTCCATGCAACGCGCCCACATATTGCAGTGCTCCTCAGTAACAGAGTAGTTCTGCAGGACAGGGTCCAGGGCCAATTCTCTGAGCGCCGGAAATCGATCACCGATCTCAAAAGGTATATTCAAAAGGCTTTCTCCGACATCACAGGTCAGTAGTCCATTGTTTCTGTCGACTTGGAGGTGAAGTATCTTAAGATTCCTTGCGCGCAGCAAGTGTTGCTTGACCAATCTCATTTCGGAGATGCCATAAGCCGAAAGCTTGTTGGCTAGACCAGTAAACTACAACCAATACAAGCTGGGTGATGAGAGCAGAAGTTTGTCAATTGCATGACCAAATCGATCGTTGTTGGTATATATCAAACGAACCATGGTGCGCGTAAGCAGCATTTGTGATAAGGACTAAGGTGCATAGTTTGGCAAATCCCATCCATTGCGTCTGTCACTCATGTGCCATACGGGTTACAATGAAACGGGTGAGTTGGACCTACATGACGTCTCGCAGATACACCAGGTAGCTCCAAGACTCATGAAGCGCCTGCGTAATCTTCCCGGTACCACGTGACTCTCCTTCAGACGTTACGATGTGGGTGCTATTTACTTTGCAACCAACTGTTTCGCCAGGCGTCCGAGCTCTCTCGAAAAGCCGAGCTCAACATCGCACGCACCCAGAAGCGTCAGGTTGCGAAAGAGGAAGCTTTGGGAAGACCTTCTGCACACGCGATATACTGACCGCAAGGAAAGAAAGGTGTTGGGGTCGCGTTGGTCGTGGAGGAGAGAGAAGATTGACGAGAATACGTCTTGAGGCAAGCTCGTAAACATTGAGCGCGTGGAGGGTTTTCCTGTTGATAAGATAAGTTTTGCTTGCGAATGGACGTGAGGAATAAAGGCAGTAATGGGTGCACGATGCATATAAAGTCGTGAACATGGCAGACAACACCCCACTTACACTGCGCCGCCAGCCTTGCGCACGAGTAAGACAGGGCGCAGGTAACTCGCTATGTGTCGGAAGTCGCAGCGATGCGTACCTATTAAATATCCCATGCTCACTAAGTTCCACATGTTCCCGAATTCAACTGTATTGGCAAAGCTCCCATTCAAGCCAAGCTCACCAACTCCCACCTCGGTTTCGCCTTCCTCCAATCTGCCAAATCCACAATATCCAACATCTGCACTCTCCTCTTAACCTCGCCCCATCCTTCCATATCCTCGAGCAAAAGAATGTGTAGTTTTTCATTCGAGTTACTATACCTAGTTGTAGGTGCTGACTCCTCGCCCGCATAGCTCTTACACCACCGCGATATATAGACGGCGGTGTGCGATCGTCCAAGTCCTTGCCATGCTGGATCGAGATCGATTACTGCAATGTGTTCGTCGCTGTCTGGTATGCAGACTTTGTGTAGAGGCCTGGTCTCATCAAAGGAAGCGGAAGAATTATCCCATGCGCGACTCAGATCCGGATCTGGGTCAGCGGGGATGAAAACTGTGGCAATGCTGGTGTAGAAGCGGATGATGTGTGAGAGTGGTGGCATGACACCGGGCTTGTGGTTCAAGGGCGACAATTCAAGTTTTTGTGATTTGGAGTGGAACTTGTCGTCTGGCGTGAGCTGACTGAGAGGCATGTGCTGCGGCCAGGTACCCAATGCTTGAGCCCGGAACTCATCGGATTCGTCCTTCGCGCGCGGATGGCCAGCAAGGCGCCAGCAATGGGCATCAAGTATGTATTCGGGTCTCACAGTCGCAACAACTTGTTCGTCGGATGATTCAGGATGAGAAGTCTCGCTCTTTGCGGGTAAGGGCTTCTCCTGCACAGGCACCGCTTCGCTGACTGGCTCGTCTATCAACCGAAATAGATTCGTCGAGTCGTTTGGACAATGGTACCAGTCGAGAGTCCACACAGAGGGGCCGACGAGCGCAGTAGTATTCAGGTCAACACGATAGCGACCCCGAGAAACACGTAGATCAGCGTCCGTCCTTTTACAGTTTTTGAAATGTAGCTCAACTCCAGCATTGCTTCTCCACCCGGTCCAGCTCCAGCTTGGAAATCCCTGTCGTCTCAAATCCATTCTATGAAAAGAGTGTTCCCAAGTTAGACCCCGCACAAACTCCTTGGAAGGAATGCCCCATACGCTGTAGCCAAAGTCGGGTTCAATAGAGCTCAAGATACCGGTGAATGCACGAATAACGTCGCTTTCGAAAGACAATTGCCTTCTACTGTATGCCCTGACGAGTGACCAGAAGTTGCGACCAAAATGCTCCCGATGCGACTCATACGCTGTATAATTGAGTCTTACACCTGCGCTGTTGAGACCCTTCTTTTGAGGATGCCTTCGCTCTCTCATATGAATGGATCCTGATATATTTGCCTTTGGCTCCATGACAGTGTCCTCGAACCAGGTCGAGGCTGCACAATGGTAAAAAACTTGCGACTGAGTGAAAACCAGAAGCCGCTTTGAGAAGACCTTTTCCTGTAAACACCTACATTTACATTCCTTTAGCTTGCGTCATGAGTAAATATCAGAATGTCGCTACGTACCAAGCGCGACTTTCCCAAGGCGAGCTTTTGAGTGCTTCGCCAAAAGTCTGGCGTGCACTAATATACGTTGTGCCTGCCCAGGTGAACGTGGCTTGAGGGTGCTTCCTGGGTAGACTGACACCGAAGATGCCCGTATCCGCGCTGTCGGTGTCACTTACAATGGTCAATTTGGCTGAGCTGTACACTGTTTCCATGGCGTCCATATGTGTTTTGAGCTCATCAGCATCGTTTTGACATATGCACAAGGCGTCGATCCATAGGTATCTAATTGACAAATTCTCAGCAATAACAAAAGCATCCTGGAAAGTCTGCGGGACGTCCTCGTTATCCACGGAGAGAGCGCCTGGTGTTGACAGACGTTCCTGATTGCTGTCTGTCAGTAGCAAGCGTTTGGCACTACCCCACACATAGCTCAAAGCGGCATACTCGGTCGGCTGATGGATACGAACAACGCATTTCTTTTCTACATCGACAAGGCGGAAGTTGTGCAAAACGCACATCATCTTTGGTCGACAACCGTCAGGATCTGTGACCCGTTCTTCATGTTTGTCGAGATAGTTGCTCGTGCAGTCGTCCTGAGGACTGGAAGAGCTGCTTGCCTCGCCGCACGGTTGCTTCTCATGCGTAGAAGTGCATGCGCCGAGCCATTCTCGAACTAAGTTGAAATCAACTGTACCTCCTACCGCTCGACCTACGAAAGCCTCAGTGTCTTGGGTCACTTCTATTGCTCTTGAGCCTTTGCGTGCAGCCGGCAGAATGAAATTAAATGCTCTCAAACCATAGGCTTGCGCGTTGGACATTTCTTTGACATGGACACCCTGGTCGGTGTTGTCCAGTGGCTGGTATAGCGACAGGATTGGCCTATAATATCGCATGTACTGGGAGACCATGTCTTCCTCTTTGCTGTAGTAGTATTTACTGTTCGACCACTCTTGGTAGGCGCGCTCATAGGGGGTGCTGTGTTTGGAGCCAATAAGTTCAGGCTCGATTCGAACCTGATCGCCATCGCTGCACTGTACGCCAGGTATCGCGTGTGCAGTATCGACTAAGAAGCGACAGCAGCGGCACCCCATGGCCGACGCTCGCAATGCGGACATGTCCCAGGTCCAGATTGGGGCATCTCCAGTCGGTTCGTCGGGGGAGGTTGCAGGAGCGCACCAACGTGCCAACATGTCGCTGCATTTTGAACAAGGCGGCTTGTACCGAAGAGTAACAATCAGCGAGAGAGCGGGCGCGGGCGTGTCCGGTGCCATGTTATGCAAAAGTCTCTAAGACCTGGGAACGGAGAGATTGGTGAAGACGCCATGTTGGCGGCGACACGCAACTAATAATAAGCTGTCAGTCTCGGTTAGGTGCGATTAGGATAGTGGTGTGGTGCAGGTGCATGAAGACTCGGAGTGGCTTGTGCTTGTGCTCCGACTCCCGACGCGACGACGCTAGCGAGAGCTCTGGTTGCAGCTTCCATCTTCGCTGGAGTTTTGGAAGGAGCGCGACCTTGCGATTCTCTCACCCGTTGTCGCGCATCATCTTCGCGCTTGTAGCGACTCGTTCCACGCCGCATAATGACGAGCATCGACGATCTGTTCAAAGGCGCAAACGGCGCGACGAAGCGCAAATTCGAGAATCCCCGCGAAGCCAACCCAACACAAGCCTACAAGTCTGTCAAATTAAGTCCCGAAAGCGACGTCAAGCACGCAGCAACGGTGGCCGATGAGGAAGACGACGACGACGAAGCTGGCCCTTCACTCCCCCCAGACTTCGAAGAGGACGGACCCGGCGACGATGATGAAGGCCACTTCTTCGGCGGAGGACTCGATGAGGACGCGAAAGATGCCATGGACTACCTAGACGCACAAGACGGGGAAGATGCCATAAAAGACGAGAAATACGACAGTGCCTGGCTGCGCAAGCTGTGTTTGAACTTCGAGAAGAGGGTGAACAGGAACGCATCGCTGCGCGCCAAGTACGAAGACGATCCCACAAAGTTCATGGAGTCGGAGGGTGATTTGGACGAGAGCATAAAGAGCTTGAGCACGCTTTCGGAGCACGCAGAGCTATACGAAGAGTTTGCGAAGAACACGGCGGCGGCAAAATTGGTGGAGCTTCTGGCGCACGAAAATACGGACATCGCCATCGCTGCGATTGAGATGGTATCAGAGCTCACAGACGAGGACGTGGCAGGAGAACAGGAGCAGTGGGATGCGCTCGTGGCGGCATTCCTCGAGGCCGACCTGCTGAGCCTGCTGGTGTCCAACTTCTCCCGCTTCGACGAGACCGACTCCGCCGACGCATCGGGCGTCTATCACTCCCTCAGTGTCATCGAGAATCTCCTATCGCAACCCTCGAATACAGACCTGATTGGCAAAGAAGCCGCGCTGGTCAAGTGGCTGCTGGAACGGGTACAGAAGCCCGAAAAGCCTACCACACAGAACAAGCAGTATGCTTCCGAGGTCCTCTCCATTCTCACACAATCATCACGACCGAATCGGATACACATCGCCGAGGCCAACGGTGTCGACATCTTCCTGACTAGTCTTGCGCCATATCGGAGAGACGACCCGGAGAAGGACAGCGACGAGGAAGAATACATGGAGAACATGTTCAATTGCCTCGCGTCAATCACCGAAGAGCCAATAGGCAAGGCGAAGTTCTTGGAGGCCGAGGGTGTTGAGCTGTGTCTACTCTTGGTGAGAGACGGAAAAACGAGCAAGAGCCGGTCATTGAAGGTGCTGGACCATGCATGTGGCTACGCCGAGGATGCGCCACCAGAAAAAACGCAAACAAACGGTGCAAGTTCAAAAGCGAAAGTTCCAGACGAGCCGTCGCCAAACAGCGCCATGGCCGTTTGCGAGAAGCTCGTGGAATCAAGAGGCCTAAAGCCACTCTTCAGCACATTCATGAAGACGAAGAAGCACGACCCCGAACAGACCGAACACATCCTCGGCATATTTGCTTCTCTACTCCGCTCATTGCCAGGCAACTCAGACGCACGTTTCCGACTACTTGCAAAATTCCTCGAGAAGAATTACGAAAAGATCAACAAACTAGTTGCGCTCAGACGAGACTACGCCAGCCGCGTAGCAGCCTTCGACGACAAGCTGGCAGACCGGAAACGAGGACTGTCCAAAGAAGAGCAAGACGATCTTGAACTGGAGAATGTTGCGACTCGGTTGAGTGAGGGTTTATACTGTCTCGAGCGCATCGATGCAATCCTGGCATGGCTGGTCGCGGAAGACGACGGAGCTAAGACTGCTATCATTCAAGCGCTGGGCGATCGAGACGAGGGCCTGGGAGACTTGAAGAAGACGCTTCAAGCACAACTCGATGGAAATATGGAAGTTGAACGCGCGGAGCGAGAAATGCTGGAGACGCTGGTTGGATTTCTGGATTGAACGACCTGGAAGAAGTCGCTGCCAATAACATGTACAATAGTTCCGTTCGCGTCGATATTAGCGAAGCCATACGAAACACATCCTTGCCGCATACTTTTGCGCTTTCTATGGAAGTATCTGCGTTCCCTCACATTCTCACCGGTCTAGGCATGCCGAAGGCTCGTTCCGCTACACCGCACCAACTTCAGCTAAGGCCGTCTTGGCATTGGTATTGGTGGCGTCCTGTTGCGAACTAGCACGCTCGTTCAGCTCTATCTCCCAAGGCCAGCTGAGGCATCTCGACGACCCCTCGTAGAAAGTCGCCTATAAAGCGATAGGACCTATCTCGTGTGTATAAGTGTGGATCCTTCGCGGAAAGGTTCGGCGATTGACCTTCACTGATTTCCATTTCTGGCTATGCTTACAGGATCACTCCGGTACCATGTCTTTCCTCACACACTGGATCGTGCCAGGACTCAACGCGATAGTACTCAACAAAGTGTTTCCCGATTATTATATCACCAATGCGCTAGCAGTCTTCTTCGTTTCCTATCCATCGTCACTCAAAGCTGTACGATGGTCGCTTGCCGGTTACATAGACATGCTATACCTCACTTATGGTTATCAGCGCGCCTATTACCGCCTCGGGATCTTGCTGGGTTATCCACTCCTTTCTCGCACACTGCCTTTGTGTTGGTCCCTTCTCTGTGTGGTCGTTCAAACCATGTGGAACAACGCGGTGCAGCTATTTACGCTCGCGCTATGCTCTGCAGTCGCCTGGTACTTTCTTTCTCGTGTATGGCGAAAACGAATAGCAGCATTGTCAATTGAGGTGCAGGTGTGCCTACTCATTGTCCCACCCTACCTCATCTACGTAGCGTGTGTGGCACTTGGATTCATACTGGACGGAGCAATACTCGCGAAAGCTTTCATCTCCGATATGATACGCCCAGCGCCGCCCGCATTTTCCTACGCGTTCACACCACCCTTGAAACAGAATACTCAAATTCGACTCCTGAAACTTCACACAAGACGCCCTTTCTGCAATGTCTCTGGGGAGCTCATCTCTTGCGACATTAGCGACGTCCCGAAGTACCACGCGATATCTTATACTTGGAATCATGGGCCAGAGACTCAACATACCATCATAATCAATGGTATGGGATTTTTGGTTCGAAGGAACGTCTACGATATCCTTCAGCGGTGCAGCTCGTATTTCGAGCCGCAACTTATCTGGTTGGACTCCATCTGTATCAATCAAGCAGAGCCGATACCCAGTGAAAAGACGGCTCAAGTAAGCATGATGCAGGAGATATACAGTAGAGCCGCACATGTGCTGGTTTGTCTTGGGAATGGCCCGGCCTATCTTGCAATCAATTTGATGTTTGAGCTGCACATGGTGGGACAGTTTATGGGCGACGCGTATCTTACTCATCATGTGGGGGGCTTCCACGGGCGCCAAAAGACGGATCTATACCTACACGCCCGCATCAAGGCTTTGCACGAGCTGTTGCAACATCCGTGGTTCCAAAGAGTATGGGTTGTGCAAGAGGTTGTGGCGGCTAAAGAGGTCACAGTTTGTTACGGGCAGCAGCTCATACCATGGACCACGTTCTACGAGAAGACGAAGGTATTTTCCGGCCCCGTAGTTTCGACAATCGCGGCGCTTGGTTCCAATAAAGGAGCACTTCACAATGCGCATTCGTACCTTGGTATAATGAGTCTTCCTCTCATCGTTGCCTATCGCATGGAGTACACTAGCGTCTTCGGACCGAACAGCATCAGTTACCTCCTCCGCGTCTTCGGTGCCAGAGAAGCCAAATGGCCTCGGGATAAGGTTTTCGCCTTGATCGGGATATCCAAAACATACGCCGCCGATCTCAAACAGCTTGTGGACTATAAGAAAACAACGACCGAAACGGAAATCATGCTGGACCTTGCCCATTTCCTGCTCGACCACAAAGAAGCCATAGATGTGTTGGACTTTGCTGGCATTGGATCCCACGGCTACAACTTGGACTTACCGTCCTGGGCAGTCGACTGGACCGTACCGCGCTCAGGCATGCCACTCTACACCGAATTTGCGCCCGAAACCATCAAATACCACGCCACCAAGAACCAGCGCGCGCACATGATCCGGGGCAGCTCCCGCCGTGAAGTCATCGTCCGAGGCCAACTCGTCGACCGCATCGCCTCTATAGCACCCTTGCCCATCCGAGAAGGCAATCCATCAGACTCAACCATAGCAACACTCATGTCATATCCCAACACCGCACTCACTCACGCCCGCAGACAACTCCCGGAATCCTACCGCCATATGCACTCCCAACCTCTCGCCGAAGCCGTCTGGCGCACACTCATCGGCGACCGCACACACTCCGCCCGCCCCGCGCCACCACACTACGGCGCCGCGCTGCTCGCGCAAGTCGAAATGATGCTCTCCATGGGCGCACTTGCGCAATCATTTCAACCTAGCCAAATCATGACCGAGGCGAATTTATCCCGACTACACGCGCAATTGGGCGAGGAGCGCGTGCGCCAGTTCCAAGAAGCCAGTCAGCTCCTGCAGGAGATTGACATGTTGTATGATGATAGCAAGAACCAGGCGCCGTTGGTGTTTTGTACGACGGAGAAGGGGTGGATGGGTATGGTGCCGAGGGGGAGTGAGGTGGACGATTGGGTGGGGTTGCTTTGGGGGATGCATGTGCCGTGTGTGCTGAGGGAGGTGGGGACGAGGTGGAGAGTTGTTGGGGGCGCGTATGTGCATGGGATTATGGATGGGGAGGGGGTGGGAAGGGAGCTAGAGAGGGATTTCAGGGTTGTTTGAGGAGATGAATCTGAAAAGAGTGTTTTGTGATGGCATTCAGTGGTATGGACGAGTCTGAAACAGAGATTTCGCAACAGGGAAGGAAAAGGGCATTACGGTCGTTACTAGGAGATAACCAAGCATACTAGCTCGATTAAGTGAATACTGCAATACTCAAGTGCTTGTTACGAGTCTCTTGGTATCGTCTACAACTCGTTTCAAGCCTCGTTGATCAACCTGTAGCTTACACGCATTGTTACGATAATTATAATCTCATCTCCAACCACTGCTCTCTTTTTATTTAGCCCTAGTAGGTTGTTGCCGGGTTTGGACTCCTTTAGGTTCCTCTTAGGCGGCTCCTTGTTGATGTCATACGATGCATCGACCAAAACAACCGTTGCATTCGCAAAGGATGCATCCAACTTGCCAGCCAAACAAGCCCAGAGATCACAATCCACTATGACTAAGATTCGCTGGTAATGAATGCTCGAAGTCTGACGCAAAGGCCGAAACACGAGTCTGATCGGCAGATTCCTCTGTTTTCTGTCGAGATCGAATCGGACCTCGTTGAGCTCTCTTCGCAGTCCGTATGGGGCCCAGATGCCGCACTGCTCAACATCGATGGTTTCGATATTGAGTCTAACAGCAGCAATTCTGGTCTTTACGTTAAATGGGTTTGCTATCTTGTCCAGTACGTAGAGAGCTGTAGGGATCGAATCCCCTGGAGGGCCGTCATGAAATCGCACATGTGGATCTACCCGAATGAATTGGTCTGAACTTTTGTGCGTACGCCGCAAGCGGATGACTTCAGGTACTTCGTCGCTGCCACTTCTGCAGCCTAGGGTGGCCATGTATTCGACCCTGCGAAAACTGCGAATATCTATTGTCCGTGATGGGCAGTGAAATGTGGAGGCCCATATTCGTTACTTCGAAGGGTATAGTAAACCTCGTATCGACACGTCTCATATTGTTACAGTGCCGAAACTCGTTCGGAGTCCGTGCGAGAAGGCCGCGAAGGGTTGTTCGGGTAGCAGACTCATCTATCCAACTGAAGATTGATTGATCTCCAGACCTTTTGATTATCTCTTCTTGGAGTCTGATGAATGCCTTACGTCCTTCACCATACAACAATGGCATATTCACATCGAACAATCCCATTAAGCAATACGCAACATCCTCAACACGTCTGGTTTCCCGATTCGAAGCCCATCGCATTCGCTGAGCAACGCTAGCGCCATCAATAGACGATTTTCCGTCCAGAATGTCCCTGTCTATCCCGCAACGGCGAGAGATAAGTTCTGAGGATATACTTCTTTGCCCCATGTCGACCCAAGACGAGGAGTAGAAATTTAACTTCTTCGGCGCGATGAGTTCTTGCAATGTCCAGCCCCGAGAGAACCATTTGCTCTCGACAACGAGTTCCGCTGGCATCAACGATTCCAGCTCTTTCTCATATGTGATATCTTCAAGATACGCGTAACAGCATTCGGCGTTGTGATACCACTGATACATTGAATTTATGGCTTCTGAAAGCTCCCGCGTGCTACTGCGTTTGTCGATGCAGCATGTGTCTACCCAGCACCAATCGATATCCTCTTTTTTTGCTTGCGCGGCGCAGTATTTGATCTTTCGGATTCCTTTCATCCGTTCGGCTGTCGCGGGGGAAAACGAAAACTGCTCAAAGCTTACTTCTTCCTCTCCCCATCGATGAGAGAGAATGGCATAAGGCGGAATGGCATCGCCCCAAAACTCCGAAAGCTGAAAAGTTGTAACATTGATGAGTCTCATCGCGATGATGCGTACTTATCAGTGATGGAAGGGATGTGTGAACGAATGTAGTTGCGATGCAACCGAGGGGTATCAGGCTGCACGCTCTCGCTTCTGCCTGACTGACCTGACGAGGTGCAGTCACGACGTCATTCTAGAGAGACATCTAGCATTGAATTCTAAATGTTGCTATCTTGACTGCCGTAAGGTATCATATTTGGCGAAATCAACCATTGCTCTAGAACCACAAGAATTGAATCAGGATTACCACAGTAGTCTTTTCGTCGCAAGCGCGAGCACATTACCTCTATTCCATCAGCGAATCAGTGCGGCTGCATAAGACATTTCAAGGTCAGGCTAGGCTATGTAGCGATAGCCACAGCAATGCTGCATAACTAACCTCGATTTGCTCACCGGTCGCTGAAGATAACTGGGTTACCTGCATCTCGGTAGCCGCGCTCGCTCAGCCTTCGGAGTATACAATGTATTGGTCTGGCGACACCATTGCCAAGCAAGCACCCGAGTCAGCCCCAGCCTGACATCTTTCTCCATTCCATCTCTCTCACGCAACGACCTTCGTCATTTATCGCATACGAATCATCATGCCGGTAACCTTCGGCTCTGTTGGTGATATCATCTCTGTCTGTCTCTTGGTGAAGGACCTGGTTGATGCCCTCGACAAGGCGCGTGGATCCAAGGCTGAGTATCAATCACTAATCAGAGAGCTTTGGATTCTGGATCGTAGCCTCCTAGAAATCGATCTGCTCGCAAGGACCCATGGAGGTGGCGCGACGCCTGAACTGGAAGCGTTGTGTGAGACGGCAAAGAAAGCCGTAGACCGATGCAGGAATCTTGTAAGCGCTTTCTCCGTGCGACTACAGAAATATCAAAAGAGCTTTGGAGAAAATGAAACAGAAACCTTCATCAAAGCCACGTCAATGAAGCTACGATGGTCTATTGGAGAGAAAGATTCAATTGACAGATTTCGAGCCGAAATTACTGCAATAAGTGCAAGTCTACAGATTTGTTGGCCACGGCAAGCGTGCATGTTTCTCCCAACAGAATATGTACAACAACCAAGCTAATAAACACGGCAGGAGACTCATGAATATCACTGGAAGGAATATGAGAGACCACATGACCTCCATCAAACAGCTGGATGAATCAAACGCCAGAAAGCAGGACGCTATTCTGAAATCCATCAACGACCGTCTGGACGACACCAATCGCTTAATCGCTTGCGGTAGTTTGGTCACTGCCAACATTGCGGAAGCTCTCCGACTCGATTGGCTTCGACAACTGGGCACGGAGCTTAAAGTCTTTATGCGTCGTATCATAGCAATGAACATCGCTACGTATCATGCGGTCATCAGTATTCAGGCTGCTTTGCCTAGTCGACTTGAAAGAAGTCTTATCGAGGAGCCTTTCGTGCTAGAGGATGCAATTGGTCGAATCGCCCCTGTACATTTACAGTTTGTTACTTCTTGGGATGCATTCAATGCTGTCCTTGAGATCCGCTTCCGGGATATGCAAGGTTCCAAAAAGGTCAAGCAAAAGCAATATGGCTTACAAGACAGGGCAACCAAAAGAGACATCCATCAAAGCCAATCTTGGGAGAGAGCATTTCTCCCCGGCCAACGAATCGAGATGAGCTTCCTCTTCGACACCCAGGAGAGCGAAAACAGTCAAGGTATCGTCACGTGTCCTGGATGCCAAACGCTGTCTACTAGTCCCACCCATGTCGAGATTCAATGTGAGAATTGTAGAATGTGGTTTCGACGATTCACCATCTTGCAAGACGTGGATCCTCCACCTCAAGTTCCGGTTCCCTCACCTTGGCGATCAGGATCAAAATTTGGGAAATCTGGTTTCACTGGAATGATTTCTGGCCCAGTAAGATCCGGCAAGAGACGCGTCGCACCAGCTGATGTTGACGGTGAAGACGACTTCAGAGAGTTCAAACGAGTACGTCTAATTATAAGAAGAGAACGCATGAGATTGCAAGCTTTTGAAAAAAGAAAAGGAAGTCGGGTTCTAAGGACCTTTTCGACCCTCTCGTCGAGTGTGATGCTCGAGCCGTCTGCCAAAATCCGCGAGTCTCATCAGGGCGAACGAACGCTCGTTCCACAGGTGCGGGGTTCAGAATGTATAGGCAATACCCAACCATCGACGCCTGCCGCCGTAAAAAAATCCTTGGATCACGCCGAGATTGTGAAAGGAGAGTTAGAGAGGGCGAGACAGTCGGGCTTAATATCTAAAACGACGATTCAGACAAATTCCTACCAGAGCGGTAGTACAGAGAGTAATCATGTCAACAGAATGGACATTGACCAAGTGGCCCCTAAAAAAGAGAAGTATTGGGACCCAAAGTGGTTCCCTCGGCAGAAGTCTGCAATCGGATCTGAACAGCCTCGAATATCTTTCTTTGGTGATAAACCGGTGGATGAGGATTCCCCAGGGGTAGGACCAGAATGCCTGTCTTGGCGACGAGACGCCATCGAAATCATTCCCGACCGGGTACTCATTGAGTGTCCCTGTCTCACTGCACCAAAACTTCAAGTGTATTCCCAGCTATTTCACCATCTCGACCCCGCTATTCTCACTGTCGAGGAGATTCATTCAGCGAAGGAATCTCTAGCTATTACAGTATGGTCTCGTGCGCAGGTCGATCCATCGTCTACAGGAGATAGTCTATGGTCTCGGACGGCCCATCCTGATGATTTTATCTGGCCTTTGTGTGCGCTGAGCGTATATGTCTCAACGAAGAAATTACTGGGTATCGACAAGATAGACGGGAATCTGGTCGCTCCCTCAAGAGTCCTACGAGGCACGTGGTTCCAATTGCCGAACACCGACACAGAGTTCTATGGTGCCTCCATCGGCCGTTGGATATTCGATTGGACTTGTCATTACTTCAACGAGGAAGCACTGTTGCGTGCAGCTTTGAAATTCTGGAATACCATCTACACAACGGAGAAGAACATGCTCACGTTAGTCCATTCGCGAAATGAACGTAGGCGTTTTTTGGAGAAAGCGGATCTAAACTTTAGCCATTCCATCGTCTGTTATCGTTGTTTTTGGTGGCAATTACACGAAATTATGACAACGATTCGAACGCCGAATGGAGAGGACTTCAATGGCATTACTTCACTGGTCGTCGAGGATTACGCGAAGGCGTTTCTGAAGCGTTTCTTCTTCCCCACGCCTGGGGATGTGGGTGGGAGTTACAAGGACAATGTAGCATTACTAGAGCGTTGCTCGATGTACTTCGCAACAGAACTGGCGGAGCTCATGCATGGAGAGGAGAAGGAAGCGAGGTAGTGAAGTAGATCACTTGTACATGGGCACCGTATTATTGCATATGAGTACTGAAGACTACACTCTCCATATCTATGCTTTCCAAGGCTTTCCGTATCCCTTTGGCTTCCAGCACTCCAACCACGAGCTCAACGCACTCGTAAAATAACCCCTGCTCACAGCACCATCGGGCACAGTCACCCCAATAGTCCTGAAGTCATAGCAATGCTGCGCGTTAGAAAGGACGAATCCAAACAAACTGCTCTTATCTGTCTTGGCTCCGCACTTCGGGATGTCTTGAGATACCTTGACCTTCGGCGCGAAAGGCTCCGCGCTGGCTGGTGAGAGTGTTCGCCAGGGGTCGAATTCTCCATTAGACCAGTAGGTGTTTGAGGGGCGGATGGACCAGCCACCAAACTTGCGGTTTGTCTGGTCAACGGCGGGCCATTCAGGGAAAAGGTCGCGTGGTGCATCCGGGAATTGACGATGGCAGATGTCGTGCTGGTGCACGAGCGAGTTGTATTTGGAAACGAGTTGGCGCGGTCCAAGGTTTGCGGACTGGAAGTACCCTGTAACGATGGTCTGTTAGCATATCGATCGGGATGTGCTGATAACATTTGGCAGAAAGAATGGCTGCATGTTGACTTACCCCACTGTGTGCAGTACTGCCATGTCCAGCTGATCATGGCCGGGTCTGTGAACTTCCTGTCCAAATCGCAATCACCGACTACATCGGCTTTTCCCGAGCAATTTGTCTCTAAGTACATGTTGACGTTTTTCGCGAAGTATGGGAAGCTTGCCCATCCCTGCACTGCTTGTGGGATCTTCTGGTCGTAGCTCGGCGCGCTGGTGGTATTCGTACCATTGCCGGTCTCGATCCAGTCGCAAAGCTTCCTGAGTCCAGTATTGCCGCCCTCCATGCCGTAAGACTGCCATGTTACGAAGACAGTAGTCAATGCATCGGCAAACGTCGCATGACTGTTCTTCTCCGCGCCTTTGCCAAGAAACATGATCTTGAGCTGATCTGCTGCAGCATTGTTCTTGCTACCACGATCAAATACGCCGTCGATGTATCTTGTCGCGGCCTGGATATCTCTCGAGCAGTTTCCAAAGCCGTACTTTTGCATGCCTCGCCAGATAGGCTCAAAGTAGAAACTTTGATCAACGCTTGCCTGAACAGGTGCTGAAGAAGCGTAGCTTGCGTAGATGGTATCGGGATATTTCTCTCGCATGAATGCTGCACGCATACCCGGGTAACTTCCGCCAACGAAGACCCATGGTGTTGTCTCCGGTGTGAGGGTGTAGTTAATCCCGCGGTTCTTGAGTGAGAACTGAGACGCAAAAGCCGCAACGTCCGCAAGGCTCTGCTCTGTGTTCAAGAATCGGAACTGTTCCGCTGGGGTATCGATATTAACCGGTCCACCGGGACTGCTATTTCCGTAGAATCGATGCTCCCACACAATCCCGATACCGTTGTACTTGTCGACAATCTGCTTGAAGAAACTTGTGGAATTCTGGATGCGGAAAAGCGCATTTGTAGAGGCGTTGCCTTCGCCTACGTCGTAGATGAAGACAGGGCCGCCAGGCTTATAGGAGCTCGACGCAGCCCAGTAGCGGTTGTTGAACGTCCCGTGGTTCTTGGAAGGATCGAAGTGATCGAGAGGAAGAGTGACATATTCTTCGGGGATGATCTCGGTGGCTGGTGGCGCGGAAGCATCTGCGACACTGGCGATCCTGAAATCAGCTTCGCTAACGTCCGCGTCGTTAAAGGAAGGGCCATCGATATTGACCGGGGTACCGTCGGGATTGAGTCCCATGTCTGCCATGAGATCAAAAGAGCGTGCGAAAGCATTGTTCATCAGCGCGTTCGTCGTCTGGGAGACAGCCAGCACAAGTGCCGGAAGGCACGTTGAAGCACGCATTTTTGCTAGTCCTGCACTTTTCCAGCGAGGCTAAAGCGAGTGATCAGAAAGACGACGAGCAGATGAAGTTGCGAGTATCGAATAATATACCTACCAGTGACTACTTCAACCCGCGCGTTTAATTGAACAAACGCCTAATACCCGGTGATCACTTCAAATAAGAAGGAAGATAATATAGAACTTCTACGATAAGTCAAGTGCGCGCACATATACTTTCGACCTTCCTTGTCGGGGGCGATTAACCCGCACCTGCCTATCCTGGCAACGTCGTAAATCATCAGGGATGAACACCACTCCCGCCACTCGTGTTCTACCGCAGAGATTCACGAGAACCACCGCAGCAAGACTGACCGCCGAGATTGCGCCAGCCCACCCAGGAACTGAATCCTACGATTTTGCAACGGTAAGAAGCCTCCAAGAGCTGCTTGCAAAATGATGCTTTAGCAGGTCGTACTTCCTAGCCACGCTGGCTATCGCACTTTTAGGCGGTATGGTGCAGCTAGAATCCGACATCTTGATGGGGGTCAGTATCTGAAATAAGCTCAAGGACGCAATCTTGTCTCCAAAGCTTAAGTGCGGATGCGACGAGGGGAAGCCACCGGCCAAGCTTCTAGACGCCGATTGGACTGGGCAGCTTGGGACATACCGGCATGATTGTCATGATGGACCAAAAGTCCTATGGTTGATGAAATTCCCCACAACCAGAGTTTGAATATCGACTTGACAGTGACAGCCAGCGCCGGAGATGTTCTTGAAGTCGCGCATGTGAGCTAGATGACGCGTGGGCGGCGACTTCAAGAAGCCATCCGCATGGCGGTGAAACACGGTCGCATTATTGACGGACGTCTCCAGACTCGCCCTTTGGATGCGCAAGAAAGAGATCTGCCTGCGAGCCTCGGTGGTTCTCGGTGGGAAGAAGGTAAAATTTCGTTGAATGTGGCACTGTGGTAGCAAAGTCGTAGATGTACGACCGCCGGGACTTGGTGCGGATTACGTAACGCGTTTCGAACTCCAGAAATCGTTGCGCTATCTCACAGCGAACCAGAACCATCGTTACCTCACTTTTTCCCTGTCCCTCTGTAGTCTTGGATTTCGCTTGACGATGACACGCTTAACCAAGGCCGGGGCCGAGAACACGATTTCTGAAATCACAGAAGATTCTTCAGCGGCAACAACGACATCTTTCAAAGACCAGCTAAGCAAGTTCCAATACTCCGATGGAAACGCACCATTGAATATTGGTACTGCTGAGTCAGGGCGTCCTCAACGTACAGCCAAACGTGCGAGGCCTGCAGAGCCAGATGTTGTTACCACTGCATCCACGCCTTCTCCACGGCCAAAGAAGAAGCGCGCATCCAGCAAATATGCAGATCCATCCAAATATGCCCACTTATCGCCATTGGTCGATATTTTAGAGCCAAACCTGATCTGTGTTTTCGTTGGTACAAACCCTGGTGTACAAACCGCAACTGCAGGCCATGCTTACGCGCATCCGTCGAATCACTTCTGGAAGCTACTGTATTCCTCGGGTCTCACTGATCGCCGTCTCAAGCCAGAAGAAGATCGCAGTCTACCCGCACTGTATTGCATGGGTAATACGAACATTGTTGAGCGCCCATCAAAAGACGCAGCGGAGCTGTCGAAAGAAGAAATGGCTGCAGGTACAGCGAGTCTTGATGCAAAGTTCGTAAAGTACAAGCCTGAAGCAGTTTGTATCGTTGGCAAAGGCATCTGGGAGTCGATATGGCGTTATCGGTATGGAAAGAACATGGGCAAGGCGGACTTCAAGTATGGATGGCAGGACGAGAAGCACAATATGGGCAAAAGTATGGACGGTGAAGAGACGGATGCTAATGGCGAGGTCTGGAACGGCGCGCGTGTTTTCGTCACGACAAGTACAAGTGGTCTCGCAGCAAGTCTGAAGCCAGCCGAGAAAGAAGCGATCTGGAAGCCATTTGGAGAATGGGTGCAGAGAAGAAGGGAGGAGAGAGGTTTCATCCCCAGATCATCGGATGTGCCGGAACCATCATGACAAGCAGGTACCCGAAAGGGGCCACACTTGCGGTCAGACCCATGATTCGCAGCACCTGAAGAACGCGAGATCAGCCCTTTAGGCTTCACCTGTCACAAATCGGCCCTGAAAGACACCTTCCCGCCCTACTAGCCTGCGTGAAGTTCAGCGGTTCCCTACCAATGGTGCCGGATAGGCCCGCGACGACAGCACCGCCTCAACGCTCCGGAGCGAATTGAAAACCACCGCGTATAAGCAGCCACACTTGCAGCGTGTTCAGCTAGTAGATAAGAAATGCCTCAGTACCGTCTCTAGTATGTACTTCCGACATTGGAAATTACACTGTTCACAGCCACGTTCACGAACCCTGAACCTCAGGGGCCCCACTCGTACCCCAAGCGCCACAACTATGCTCCAAGAGCCTTAGCGCCCGGAAGACCGGCACGCTTGCATGGCCTGAGTGAACCTCCACTCCATGCTCGACGTGTGTGTAGAAAGAAGATACAGTTGTAATGAGGAGAGTTCATAAGATTCACAATGTCGGAATCGAAAGACAACTGGCAATGGAAGCGCGACAATTCCTCGCAACTGTGTAAATATGAAGATTCAAATCATCTCATGTGAAGAGCATGCATGCGCCTCACCCCAGTACCAAGAAGCACGCACACGCGTATCCAACAGGGGTACATGCAGTCCACGTTACAAGTTAGCGCATCACATCGGCCACACTTCTGTGGCGCCTTACCGTATGCCTCGCAAAGAACATCCGTTGTTCAGCGCGTTGACGCGTGCACCAATGCGCCCTTTTCCCAGGAGTCCGAAATCGTGCCGGAAAGCCGAGACGCGTGTGTTTTTAAAGTGACCCTTTGTGAGCCACAAAGTCCACATTGACATCTGCCACACTTCGTCTGCCACACTTGACACCTGCCACACTCCTCCCGCTGCAGACTCAAACAACACCAGCCACGTCTAACGCTTAACTCAACCTCAACTGAGGCGTTCGCATCAAAACTACAGCAAAGTTCAACATGTCCTACAACCAACAACCCCAAGGCTATTACGCCCAACCACCACCGCAGGGCTATCCTCCGCAACAAGTCCGTTTCCCTCTCCTTCTCCCCTCCCAACCAACCTGACAAAACGCAGATGCAATACACCCAAGCCCCGCCCGCACCTGCCCCAGAACCCAAGAAAGAACGCGGATGTTTGGCAGCTTGGTGAGTTTAATCCACGTGTTCGGGAACAGGACAATTCGAGCTAATACGAACTATTTAGTCTGGCAACATTGTGCTGCTGTTGGCTATGTGGCGAGACGTGCGAGTGTTGTTTGGATTGTTTTGATTGTTGCTGTTAAGCAGGGGCGGGATGTGTCGGATGTTAAGATAGGATGAAAGGGGAAGGGGGAAATGGTTTGCTAGGATAGTTTTTCGAATCAGGATTTCTTTTGGTGTGTTTATATTCTGATTCTAGACGGGGAGGCAGTGATGGTAGGTGATGGATGTGGTGTATAAATGCCACTCGACAATTCCATTCCATTTGTTCTTACATCACATGCTTCAAAACTCCTCATATCAATGTCGCAAATTTCTCTTTCAAATATTAAAAACATCATTTGTTTGTTGAAAGATAAGACAAGCTATCTCCGGCCGTTAACCCCTCACTCCCTCTTCATGCTTCTAATCAGAGTCATACGCCTCCTCTAACGCCTCATCATACTCCTGCTGCGCCTCAATCAGCTCTTGACGCTTCTCCTCCAAACTCTCGCGATCACTGCTCGAAATCGACGAGCCGTCCGCATCATGCGTAGGCACGGGTGGTGGATACGTCGACGCGGCGTACGGGTCCTGCGCGGCGTATGGGTCCTGATAAGGTGCTGCCGGAGGAGCTCCATATGCGGCGGCCGGCGCAGCGGCAGCGGCAGCAGGTGCAGCAGCATGGGACGAAGATTTATTGTCGTCTTCGGCTGGGAGGTATTAGCTTTGTTAGATAGCAAGGGAATGGGAGATTTACTCAATTCGTGGCCGATCCAGGCGCCGGCGGCGATGCCGCCGATACCTGCTGCGGCTAGCATGGCGGTTGAGTGGCCGTCTTTGTCCTTCTTCTTTTCCTTCTCGTTGGTCGCAGCGCCAGAGGGAGTGTAGTCGTGTCCTTGGTGGCCGTTGGTGTTACCGAAGAGAGCGCGCTCGTCGTGGCCGCCGGGTGCCTGGTAAGGTGCACCCGTCGGGGGTGGCGCGTACGGGCCCGGAGGTAGATTGGCGGGAGGATCCCATTGTGTACGGCCAGTGGCTTGTTCTACGTAGTACCATCGTTGGCTGTTTTGGTCCCATTGCTGGACCCAGCCTGGAGGCATTGGCGGTGGTGCGCCCATTGGTGCCGGTGGGCCGATTGGAGCTGGTGCCTGGCCATAGGGCTGTTGCTGTGGGTAGCCATGACCTTGTGGCGGGTACCCTTGACCCTGAGGAGGATATCCTTGACCCTGCGGTGGGTAGCCTTGGCCCTGCGGAGGATATTGCTGTTGTTGGAGAGGATGACCACCTGCAGGGTTGCCTTGATCATAGAACGAGTCCGACGCCCCACGCTCGGCAGGTGCACCGTGAGATGTGTCTTTGGGTGGTTCTTGAATTCATTTTAACCACAGGTCACAACGAAGGATGGAGTCTTCTCACCTTCAGGCTTCTTCTCGGGCTTCTTGTCATCGTCGTCGAGAAGCTCCTTCATCTTCTTCTTGAGGAAGTCCATGATCAATTGTTATTCTTGTAATGAAGGCGCGTTTGGTGGAGAGTGAGATTAGTGTTGTGGAGCGAAGGGAAAATAAAAGTCGATGTATTCCTGTGTTGAGCGGGGTGCAAGGCGACTTTTAAAGCAGACGACGTGCACACAGCGGGGCATCGGAAACACTGGGGATGTCCGGGAAGATTCACCCCGCTGCCAGCAAATTGCTTACTCTGTACGTCCTTGGCGAGGTGGACATCCTGTCACGCAGAGGCGCAGTGGATGTCGTTGAATGGTGAGAGGACGGGAATTAGTGGGGTTCGGGAACGGGGTTTGATGCTTCTGGCGACTAGCAGGAGCTTCAAACCGTGTGGGTATGGAAAGGTAGCGCTTGGCAGGGTATGACAGTCATGCCGGGATACTAAACAGGATCAGTATGAAGGTGTATGTTCTGATTACTTGATCTGCAGAGAAACAGTGAATTCGCAATGACAGAGACTTGTTCGCGGATGCAAATGCGCTGAGAAGACGGATCAAACGGCTACCAATATGCCTTGGCGGTATGTAAATGCCCAGTTGGGAGTTTGTGACATGACTTGCTCGTACAATATTGCCAGGCGGTGGTGATAGTGGCTGGTTAGCGGCATGCGCCATTTTTCGCTCAGCCACGGGTCAATGCATCCCTGACATACGCAGGCGGAGCTCTGCGGATACGCGGTAACGCGAACATCGTCAGTAATGTGGCTGAGGAACCCGGACATTCAGTGATGTTTGCTAAAGTGCGCGGCGTGGGGACTGCGGGAAAAAGGTTTTACATGGGACGAAAGACGGTGGTGAAATGAATGAATTGAGGAGATTCATGAGATGAGAAAGGGTAGGCAGGACGGACGCGTATTTCGCGCAGACAAGCCATGTCCCTGATCGATGAAAGAAGCGGTGGTGCGATAGAGAGATGGAAAAACAGCAGCGCGCAGACATTGAGAGACGATAAGAGAAGTTCGTGGTGATGATGTCGAAGGAGTAGGGTTAGTCGCTCCGCACGGTTGATTGCGAATAGAGGTCACGATTTTCTCAACATGTTGCCGTTACCTATGCAAGCTGTTGGTCTCGGAGGCAAATGGCGTATGATGAGTTCATGGAGCAACACAAAGTAATGTTGTATAACCATGGTCATGGTGAGTGAGTTGGACGGTGCAGTCACGTGACGCACCAGGGTGTTCAAACAGGAAGCGGCAGCGGGAGCGGGTAATGTCCCCACCTCCAAGGAACAGGCGCGAAGGGAGAATCCCACCTCACTTCTGATTGATAAACGACTGCTGTCCTGCGATGCGTTACGAAAGTCAATGATGCTCTGTAGGAAGAACAGAAACAATTCAATAGGCAGTAACAATGGAGTTGCAAAACAAGCACGCTTGCGGGCATTCGACTCGCAGGCACAATGGGTCCAGGGAGGTCTAGAACGTGGCCAGACGTGTGACGTAGCGAGGTTGTCTGGTTGGGGCGGAACCTTCGTCCTCTTCTCCCACCAGCAATGAGCGGAAGGGGCGGTTATGTGTAGCGAATCGATAGACGCGACGTCATCAGTGCCACCGTTGGAAGATGATTTCTCGGGACCGCAGCGGGCGTGGAGTGTTGTGCCTTGCACAGCAGGCTTTCAGCGAGGGATGTGCGGCTGAGATGGAGGAGCGGCAGCCAAGGGTAGGCAATTCTCAGATCTCGATGATGTTTCATGCCAAACACTGTCCAAATGCTCCCTTCTGCAAAAGCCCGATGCGTACTCAGGACTAGACCAAGGGCTAGCATGCGTGCGTCAGACACGACACCATCGATGCACCTCTGCCTTCCCATGCCCCATGCACGCCAAAGCCTTGCCCAACCGCGGTAGCAGTCGGATATCCTGACCGCCATCACTGCGACCGACCATTGGTGCTCGTGCCTGGCACTTCGTCTAGCGCCATCGCCGTGAAATCGAAATTGCGACCCTCGGGAGGTCAGACTGTGTCGGCGGCAGTACGGTCGCCGCGCGTGAATCGAACAGCTCGCACGCCTGCTGTTCCTGACCCTGGCCAGGCTATGTGCTGCGCTGATCGTCTTGTGCCGAACGTCACCCCGGCATCTGAGATCTATGCCCCCGTCGCAGCCGCCATCCATCTTTGCGAACCACGCTGCCACGAAACCACCCAGGACGAGCTTTGCAGGCACATCGGCCCCCGTCACACCGCTCGAGCACCCACGGCGTCTGCTGCAGACACCGCCCTCTACATGGACGCCAGCCCTACGCCTTGACCCCAGTGATCCCAACTCGCCGCCGCTTCTTTTTGCCCGCAGTGGGGGAACTGGTGGTGGTAGTAGCAGTAGAGGTGCCCTCCAGACACCGCCCGCCGTTGCTGGGAAGAAGAGGCCAGCGCCCCCCGTGCTCGAATACAACCCCGCCCCGGCCAGCGAACCCTTGCACAAGCGCCGACGCGTCCACACGCGCGCCCGACACTCGCTCGACAGCGACCACTTCAGCGTCTCCAAGAGCGCCCACGCCCACGCCTACGCCCGCTTCCCCGTCGGTGGCCGCCAGCCACCCTCGCCGCTGTTCTTCAGCGCGCGCAGTCCTCGCCCGCACCTGCCTGCGCGCTTCTCCAGCTCCGAGGCCGCCGCGAGGATGCTCAGCAAGGCGCATGGCGAGGAGGGCGGCATCAAGACGGTCACGCTCGCCCGGGGCACTTTCAGTGGCCTGAGCCCGCCAGGCCCCGCCAGCATCGCCAGCGGAAGGAGCAGTGACCGGTCGAGCCTGCCGCCAACTGCATCGCCAGAAGGCCCGCGACCGCACCGACCCGCTTAGGCTGCTGGGCTCGGTCGGCATCGTCGAGCTGCTGGAGCAGGAGACGCGCCCGACCTTCATCGTAGACATTGGCGACAGCGCAAACTACTTGCCCCGCTCCACGGCTCTGCAGATACTCTTTGCGAACACGGCTCTGCGCTCCAGCGCCTCTACCTGGGCACTCGTGGCAGGCCGGTTCTCGGACCACGAAGAAAACGAAGCCACTGCAATTGCAGCCACTCAGTTCCGCAGCTGGCTGCTGAGCGCCATCCAAGGCGACACTCCAGCCGCCAACTCCCTCGCCCGTCGAACATGGGGGTGTGATATGGTCGTGCTATACGTTGCGGAAACGACTGCGCGTCGTCTCCGGTGCTGTTCCCACACATGCTACTGCTAGCATTACCCCCGTCAGTGACCCCCATGACTTTCCCATTCCCTCAACCTCGTCCACGGACTTGCTTTCTGGCAACAGTATTATAGTGTCGTCCGCCTCCGCTCGACAGAAAGAGCCGCAAGACTACTTCGGTAGTACCAGCCCCAGCCCCAGCCCCAGCCCCAACGCTGCAGCAGAACGGGAGCAGACTCCCCCCACGCCAACACGGCAAGCTCAGAACAGCAATGCCGTCGTCTCTCCGCGGGATGTGAGTGGCATATTTCAGACATCCGCGGACATAATTCTGCCCTCGGCGGAAAATTCCGCTTCTTTCAACAATGAGTGCGTGCTCCGAGCCCAATGTGCAGGCGATGTTGACGCATTTCACAGCGAACCAAACAATTCCCAAGAGCACGACATGGGTTTCTTCGACTGGACGAGGTTGCCTTTGTCTGCATCCCTACCGCGACATATTCAATTCGCGCGTTCAATAGACTGGTCCTCGACCCCTCTCGGCCCTATAGAATACTGGTCTAACGATTTGCGCGCCATGTGCAATCTGATCATGTGAGTTTTGCATCGCATTTCGCGCTCTCACCATGCGTGTCTGACCTTTTTACAGGGCGAGCCCTCACCCTGCTGCCATGTACTGGGGAGACGAACTCGTTGCAATCTACAATGAGGCTTATATCGGTATTACTTCTTCCCTCTCAACTTTTTGTTCTTGCTAATGCTCTGAAAAGGCCTTGCTGGCCAAAAGCATCCAGCTCTGATGGGACAAAGCTACAAGATAGCGTGGGCCGAAATCTGGGACGAGGTCAAGGATGTCTTTGCAAATGCTCGAATGACAGGACAAGCGACTATGAAGGATGACGACTGCCTTTTCATGAAGCGCAGTGGATTTCTCGAGGAGACGTACTTCTCTTGGTCCATCATTCCAATGGTCGGCGAAGATGGAACCGTCATGGGACTCTACAACCCAGCTTTCGAGAAGACGAGGAGGAAGATCGCCGAACGACGAATGCTAACCCTCCGCGAGGTCGGCGAAAACACAGCCATCGCTCGAGATGTCAAAGGCTTCTGGGACCAGGTGTTGATAGCCCTCACCGAAAACGAATTCGACACGCCATTTGTTCTACTATACTCCGTTTCTGATGAGAACGACAGTGATTCTTCTTCGCTATATTCTAATAGTCTTCTCGAGGCTAAAACATGCTTCCTCGAAGGCTCCCTAGGCGCCCCGACTGGTCACCCAGCTGCGCCGGAACAGATTGATCTCAAGGAAGGAAACGAGGGTTTTGGTCCTGTTTTCCGCGAGGTCATGAAGACTGACAAGCCAGTCGTGGTCAGCATCGGGTCCGGCGATCTTCCACAGGCCATGATGGAAGGGCTTGACTGGCGAGGGTTCGGAGACCCTTGTCGAGACGTTGTCATCTGTCCAATTCACCCAACCACTGGCGAGACAATATTAGGCTTCCTTGTTCTTGGCATAAACCCAAGGAGACCGTACGACGACGACTACAATCTCTTCATTCAGCTCCTCAGCAGACAGCTAGCGACATCGCTGGCGTCCGTTGTCCTCTTCGAGGAAGAGATACGCAGGGGCCAAAAGGCAGCGAAACTCGCGGCAGAGGACCGATTCAACTTGTCTGAACAACTCGCCGCTCGTACGCAGGAAGCAAAAGAAAGCGAAACGAGATTTACGAGAATGGCAGAGTACTCGCCTGCAGGACTCTTCATCGCCGATCACGCCGGGCGGATAACATACTGTAACGACACTTGGTTTGAAATTTCAAGAGTACCGAAAGAGCGGGATAAGACGGATAGGTGGATCGACTATGTCAAGGAAGAAGACCAGAGTCTCATCAAAGACCACTGGCGGAAGTTGGTCAACAATGCTGCCGCCATCAACGTCGAATTCAGGTTCAAAGCGCTTTGGGAGGATCGCAATCGCAACAACGGAGACACATGGGTACTCTTTTCTGCATTCCCAGAGAAGGACGAGAGTGGTCAGCTCAAGAGTGTTTTCGGAAGCATCACCAACATCAGTCCGCAGAAATGGGCCGAAGGATTCCAAAAGCGTAAGATGGAAGAGGCTGTGGAACTCAAGCGGCAGCAGGAGAACTTCATCGACATCACAAGTCACGAAATGCGAAATCCGTTGAGCGCCATCTTGCAATGCGCCGACGAAATCTCCACCACGCTTAGCGAATTCAGAGCCACTGGTTCCCGGACCATTGCCGACAGCATCGTTTCCGACTCAATCGATGCAGCGCAGACTATTGCGCTTTGCGCCCAGCACCAAAAGAGAATTGTGGACGACGTTCTCACGCTGTCGAAACTCGACAGTGCGATGTTAATGGTATGTTCATCGTCAAGATTTCAGGAAGAGTCTAACAATAACTGTAGGTTACCCCAGTCGATGCACAGCCATTGCAAGTTGTTCAACGTGCATTGAAGATGTTCGAAGGCGAAGTGCAAACAGCCGGTATCGAGATGCAGTTCGTACTAACGGACTCGTTCAAGAAATTGAATGTTGATTGGGTCAAGATTGATCCTTCGCGTGTACTCCAGGTAGGTCGTGTACGTCTACTTTGCGGGCGACGCTCATTGTGAACAGGTTCTCATCAACTTGACAACGAACGCAATCAAGTTTACCACTACCGAAGAGACGCGAAACATCAAGGTCATCCTTTCAGCATCTCGCGATCGACCATCAACGGGTGCGTTGCCTTGTGTCAGCTACTTCCCGATGCGCGCAAAGCGCATGGATCAGACTCTTGGACCTGACTGGGGCGACGGTGAAGAGATTTACATCGAGTTTGCAGTCCAAGATACTGGGCGTGGCTTGAGTCCCGAAGAACTCAAAGTCCTGTTCCAACGGTTCCAACAAGCTAGTCCGAGAACGCACGTCCAGTACGGTGGTTCAGGTTTGGGGTTGTTTATCTCGCGAGAATTGACGGAGCTGCAAGGCGGTGAAATTGGCGTGTCTTCTAAAGCAGGCAAGGGCAGTACGTTTGCGTTTTACGTCAAATGCCGTCGGAGTAAGGAGCCGAGTGAGGCCGTCGAAGGTGCGACAGGAATATCGGTCACGAGAAAGTCATCCATAGCCAAAGACAAGGAACGTCTAGTTGAACCACCGAAGATCAAGGATTTTGCCGCCATCCCAGAGAAGACAAAACCAGCTACCAAAGCCGCACCACAAAAGACCGACTTGCGGGTCCTTATCGTAGAAGATAATCTGGGTATGCTTATACCTTCATTTACCTATCACTACCAAGCTAATCGTTCCCACAGTCAACCAAAAAGTCCTCCAACGCCAACTCCACAACCACGGCATCGCAACCAAGGTTGCCAACCACGGCGGCGAAGCCCTCGACATCCTCAAAACATCCACATATTGGAAATCCGCACCGCCCGGCGCCGCCGACCTCGGCGTCGTGCTCATGGACAAGGAAATGCCCGTCATGGACGGCTTGCAATGCACAAGCAAGATCCGCGAGATGGAAAAAGCCGGCGAGTTTAAATGTCACATTCCAATCATTGCCGTCACGGCGAATGCAAGAAGCGAGCAGATTGCGACGCTCCTGGCGGCGGGAATGGATGATGTAGTTAGTAAGCCGTTTCGTATTGGAGAGCTGATCCCGAAGATTGAGGAGTTGGCGGGGAGGTATCCAAGTGTGATCGACCTTAAGGAGCCGTTGGGATTAGTCGTTCCGAGTAAGCAGGCGGAAGCGAAGGAGGCTGTGGGGCGGAGGTTGTAAACTTGGTGAGGTGTTATTGTTATTATCGCATGCAGTTGTTGTAGAGCGGGCGGGCGTTATTTGGTATTTGTTTGAGCGAGCATTTTGTACGGGGCTTGGGGCGAAAAACATCGATACGCAATACGCATTGGGAAAGAGGATACCCTTGGTTTGGTCAACGAAACGGATGGTTATGGCATGCTTAAATGAAGAAATCTTCATGATAAAGATATGACCTTGCGCGATGTGCATGCTGCTGATGTTACCATTCTCGCAACGTCGTGAAGTCCAAAGACTCTGCCGGTGGAAGCATCCATAATGCGGAATCGCTGAGACTCGGAATAGAGAGGGAATAGCTGTGGACGGCGAACGGCCGATTACCTATCTTCGTAACGTAGTCTGCGAAATTTAGGGGTCGACAGCCCAGTAGTGTTGAACCTACGAAATAAACCAGACTCTGATCATCAACACAATCAGATTCCGACCCTGATGGGGACGCTGCTCGCAGGTGGAGAGGTACACTTTGCACATTTCGCATGCTTATCAGTACCTAGGTAGCTTGCCTAAAAAGATACATGCTCCTATGGTCATTGTACAGTAGGTTTGTTTGGCCGAGGCGAGGCGATGGCGTAAGAAAGTTGAGGAGACGCAGATTCATCTGCAGGTTTTGGTTTACAATACTAACCATGTGAAGCAGTGCTTGAAAGATGAGGTCGATGTTTTTTTTTTAATGTTGCCGCTCCGGACGTCTTCAACCTTATCAGCTCTCGTTGCCAGTAGTTGCACTCCCCTGTAATATCTTCTATACTCAAGCTTCTCACCATGTATTATAATATAACCCTATTGCTCATGAAACATGCTCTGCTCAGTGACCGCAGGAGATGAACCGTAGAAGGTGAGGTAATTAAGACAGCAAAGCAACGAGTACCATGAGCATAGACGAAAAGTTTGAAATTGCACCGTATTTACATTTTTTGTGCAAGGACTGTAGAGCCCAACAAAAGTCATTCCCCATGTCCCATAAAGATTATTCACATGAATCGTAACATAGCTCCTGAATCGACCCAACAAACCTGCCAACCCGAGACCATTTTTGCCCTCTTACACAGCGTCACAGTGACTTTCGTTTCTGCCGTACTTCTCCATATCCAGGTCCATCTCATACACATCGTAAGGATCCGGCGTCTTCGCCTTCTCTCTTATCACCCTCACCGCTTCGGGCTTGCCCGGCTCGACTAAGCTGAACTCGCTCATACTCCCAATCTCCGACACTTCCTTCTTGCCCGCGGAGCTGGAGCCCCGACTTCCCAGCGACACCGACTTGCTGAACTTGCTGAACTTGGATGAAGAGGAGGAGTTCTGCGTTGTGCGTGAGCGCGTAGAGCCCAGCGCGGATCCCAGGCCCTGCAGTAGAGAGCCCAGAGATGCGAGCGCGGTGCCGAAGGCTGCGAGGCTGAGGATTGGGCGCAGGGTGGGCAGGCAGCAGGCGATGAGGGCGATGTTGGTTTCGACCATGGTCCAGAAGAGGCCGTGGGAGGTTATGCCGATGATGTCGTAGGTGGGCATGCCCATGATGGTTACCATCGTCAGGCCGTCTATTATCTGATTAGCTTGTGGTGGTGTGGAGATGGGAGAGGTATGTACCGGAGGGTGTGCCTTGCTTGATGCAGATTACCATGCGGACGAGGGCGGCGCCGACGGCAAAGCCACCGAGGAGGAAGACGAAGATAAGTTGGATCTTACGGACGGTGGGCATCTGGAGGCGCCAGATCTGTGGGAATGTTAGCGCTGGTTCACATGATGAGTCTTGAATACATAGGATGTGCTTACCCATGGGAGCGGGAGAATAAGGATAAAGAAGTCCAGCGCTGCATCGATGCAGGTGAAGATGATCGTGGCTTGGAAACCAAGCGGGCAGTTCTCGCTGATACTCGCAAGGGATCCCCAGTTTGCAGCGAAGTTGAGGCGGCAATCGAAAACGAAGCCAAAGAAGAAAGCGAGTGTGAAGCCAATAGTAAGGATGATAAAGACCAGCGATGTCCATTGGAAACCGCTTGTCACGAAAATGCGGCGGTAGAAGAATAGAAAGGCAAGCTTGGTCAAGCCTAGGGCAAGGGGCTGCATGATGAAGATGATGTAAACCAACTAGGAATTTGTTAGATAAGACGCGGAATATCCCTAGAGATGGGAGACTTACTTTCTCAAGAATGACCAGTGTGGGTGTTGTCTCCATGATCCAGCCCTCGATGTTGGTAGGGTCGTTGTGACTACCGACAATGCCCTTCTTTGCGCCTAGTACCCTTGTTGGCATGGTGTGATATGGAGGAGCTGCCTGGTTCTCTACATACCATAAATCAAGACGACCGAGACACCGATTGTCGGTACAAGAGCAAGCAGACAGAAAAGATCATCCAAGTGCTTGCCCCATGCGATGTCGACAGCCTTCCTGGCCGTTCTCGCACGAAGAGCTATCCTTGCAAATACAGCAACGACCGCCAAAGTCAGTAAGGCGATGGAGGTGTATAAGCAGGAGTTGACATTGACATAAGTATAAGACATGATGAAGAGTCAAAGAAGAAGAGAAAACGTCGAGTGAAGGCTGGTGCAGTAAAGGTGTGAGCTCTGGCATTGCACTTATATCTTCGAGGCCGAAATAGGTCCTGGTAAGCAGAACTCGTCTTCGCGATGAGATGGCCCTTTCCAACGATCGCGAGGCTTATCGCGCCAGTATTGACCATCGCGAACTATGGGATGCGCCCCCGATGCAGCCTTGCAGGTGGCTGGAAGCGGAATGTAGCAGTTCCGCCCCTGGTTTTCCATCTCTTGTGAGTGACATGAGTCGTGAACCAGCGCGTCTAAAGATTTCGATCGGACGCCCAGAACCTATTCCTCCTACGCACGTGTCAGGCCAGCGAACGGTTTTGTGGGGTTGGGATCCAGAGCAGAGGCTAAGCAACACAAGGCTAAGCAACACAAGGCTAGTGACAAGCTTACTTGTACGCCGGATTAGGGCATGTAGAAGCTCTTAGCCAAGACGGCTCGGATATCTTTTCGCTGGATATCTAGCCCGAATGAAAGCTCTTCGCTGCATTTGTCTTTCTCCACACTGATTCTCAGTGTTTCCCACCATGTCTGCTCAATACCAAGCTGTCTCAGCTGAAGACAGCCGACTCGATTCTTTTGCACCGATATGTAAGCGATCTCATAACAGATGCTGGATTATACCTCTTGGAACGATCTCGGTGGCGAATGTCCTCATGCTTTTGGCATCTCTGTACTTTTGGCGTGCTGCAGAGCATGCCGCGAGTGCAGTACCTGCCCTTCCGACGACCACGCTTGGCTTGACTAGCGAAGTTGAAGCAGTCAAAGTGGAAATTCCTGATCGGCCTAGCTCATGTTAGGCCCGTTGTCAACCGCATATGTTTCTTTCCACTGGAATACCCCTTGGGGTGCACCCAACGCCACTGACGCGGATCGTCTGTGGGAAAACATCAACACTGCACACGGGCATATTGCTATAGACCATGCGTGGGCTTCCGAGAACAACGTACGTTTCTTCAAATATGATTTTGGAAGTATATACCTAACGGAGCTCGATGTGGACAGTGGCCAGAATCAATGGATATTCCTGGACAGCCTGGTAAAGGATTGTACCTCCTGCAAGCCTACCATCAGCTACACTGCCTTGTAAGTCACTCCCTATGACGAAGCCACGAGAATGATTTGACGGTATCACTTTCATGGCGCATCTTACTTCATTTCCTGTTTACTAGATATCATGAAGCGAATAGTTCGCTCAACGCTTCTGTCCCTGAGTCGCAAAACGCCTCCAAAGTATCCTATGCATCACGCCCTGCATTGTTTTGACGCATTACGCCAACACATCATGTGCCATGCGGACAGTACTCCGCTCTATGGAAAAGGCGATAGGATGGCTGGCGACGGGCAGCTGCACCAGTGTAGAGACTGGAACGAGTTGAGAGACTATGCGACTAAGAACACTGCGTGTTTTCGGGATCATGAGCCGGGCATGAGCTACGAAGACCTATTCAGTGTCTGTGATGACGGGACAGATGGGTTAGAGCAACTGTAGTCGCATGTTAGCGGCCAGGCGACTAGCTGCTGTAGCTGTAGCTGTAGCTTTACCATAGTTGGACATGACGTTTGCAGCGAGATCCGTCAGTTTAGTAGTCCCAAATCTCTTTCCATCTTCAGATGCAGGCGAAAACTGCTAGCCCTCAATCGTGAGAGCGCGGGATGCGTGTCCAGTCCACATGCAGTTACGCTCAGCCAGACCTCGATCCTGAAGACGCGGGATGTATTTGACATCAGGAACACACGCATGGTTGGGTATGCGCCACTCGCTCGCAAGGCCATACTGCCCTCGAGACGAACTGTCTGGAATCGATCCTATTGGCCTTCGTCCGACGTTAGTGGCACGGCCCAGTGAGCCGAGAGATCGGGGAATTCGTTAGCGTCGATTGTGGACAACCGGTCCTTGCCAAGACTCCCAGACCCCAGACTGTGGATGTTGGGCGTAAGGGGTGAACTTTGAAAGGGTCCAGTAGAGCTATGGTGAATAGATTCCGCTACGGATGGGACCGCTTCCGATGATCAATTTTGACTTCGACAGACACTAAGGTCAGCCTTGCGATCAATTTCTAGTTTTGCTCAGGATGCTTGCGTTAGCGGCATCGCACCTCACAGCTGGGATCGATGTCCAGATCGCTCCCGTGTGGCATAGAGAAAGTGCCTCTGTACCTAGGTAGCTTCATAATACTGTTTGGGGTAGGCTAAACCAAAGTACTCCACGGAAAGAGCTGAGATCTAGATTCGCGACTTCACAGCCAGGCGTGTGACTAGGACACGCAGGAGCTATTGACGGGTGTGCAGATCGATCGAACATCATCTTGGAGAAGATGCAGCTTCACCCGTGATCGTGCAACAACACAGAAGGATGTGTATAAAGAACAAAAAGATTCCTGCCCAAACAGAACATCATCTCCGCTATCTCGAGTTACCAGAGCCTGACATTCACTCACTCTACCTGTCTTTCAGCATCCTCACTATCATTACTTCTTGTTTCTCTGCTTAGAATTCCCATCTCAAGCAACAATCTCATCATGAAGTCCTTCACTCTTAGCACCCTTTTTCTCGGCCTTGCCATGACTGCTCCTCTTACTGAGGCTTTGGTCGCTCGCGCCGTAACTTCAGCGAAGACGAGCTCTACTTTGAAGAGCAGTATCAAGGTCTCCTCGACCAGTGTAAAGGCTTCTTCGACTGCCGGGTCCGGGACGCTCTTGGGTGTTAATGTAGGTGGCTCATCGTCTCCTCTACTAGGAGTCAGCGTTGGCACTGCCACTGTCTTGGCAGTCGATGTTTCTGCGGCCAAGGCTACATCCATGCCCAAGATTACATCTACGCCCAAGGCTTCATCCACTCCAACTGTCAAAGCTTCATCCGGCTCGGTCAAAGTCATAGCAGCTGCTTCGTCTTCAGCTCCAGTCAAGTCAGCTTCTATGGTCTCATCAGCAAAGGCTGTTAGCACGATCACGGTTGCACCTACCACCACCTTAGCGAACCCTACGGCCTTGCCATCCACCTTCTCTGCTCCGGTTCAGGGTCAGGGCACACTCACGCTCGACAACTTGCCTGCTCTGCCAGGTGTCATCGATAAGACCTTCTCGGGTGTCCTCGGAAGTGTCTATGGTCTAAGTTAGTACTCTCTCGCTCCCAACGGCCGAGGCTTTACTAACGCATTGTCAGTGTCCGGTGCCTGCAACCAGGATTACAAATGCTCCATCTATGTAGCTGGAACTATTCAATCTCTTCTAGTCGACGGCGGTAACTACACTGGCAGCAGCACTGTTTCGGCATGGTGCGATGCTGGTCGCTGCTATGGCTCAGCGAACCCTACCGTCACTGCGACTTCTCCTTTTATAATTACTTGTGATGCTAACAGCGCATGCTCTGCTGTCATTTCTGGCGCAGCCACTGCAATTTTCACGAACGGACAGCAAGTTGGTATGTCTCACGAACAATAAGATATCCAAAAACGCAATTGCTAACACTGTGAAGCGCTTTGGGGATGGATTACCCCTGCAGGCTACTGCCAGAACGGTGTATGTACGGCTTCCATTAAGGCTTTCGGAGACCCAATGTACTAGAGATATATGGGGATTAGGGCATTGCGACATCATTTACCCGAGTCATTCTTTGTACGCTCATTTTATCGCGGGATGTTTCCAGGTTCAGCTTTTCTTTTCTTCTCTTCTCCGTATATATCTTTTGAGATGTTTTATGTAACCTAAAATTCTGCTATCAGACCTATTTTGAACTATTTGGGCTCACTTCACACTGATATCGTCGTGCAAACTAGCTTCTCGCGCAGACTATACAGCACTGGCTAATTAGCGATTTCGGAACAATAATTAATTGTAGCTGGGTATATGTAAACTAGGATTGCATTTTTCTAGGTGCGTTATAATATAAAGTTCTTTAGTCACTAAAGTGCTTAAGTATATAAAATTGACTAGGGAGAGAAAAACCTCAAAGGTGACAAACCCTACTAGCCTTACCTCCTGAAGGAGAGACTATGTCTAGAAGGTACAAAACAATGTATAATAGTTTCTATTTTAATAAATTGTTATAAGGTTCCTGCAAAGTGTTAATAAAAGGCCTTGAGGCAATTATTCTTCGGCTACTTATAATCTATTAGGACACAAATAGAAGAAATTAAGGGATGAGAGGAGCTAGATTCGACCCAACGTATAGATAGGGAAACAAGCGCCACCAAGTCTCCTATCCAATTTCCAGGTGTACGTGCAAATGCGCCTACACCATCCCCCCCTCCGTGTTCTATAGCATATCTAATGTTCTTAGTCCTGGTGCTTCACCGACCTTGCGTTCTGCAATCAACTATTGACAGACAGTTGACCTCCGACAAAAGATGAACTCCCTTGTCAGGAAAGAGAATGACAGACTCTCAGATGCTATAAACAAGTGGAATGAAGGTAAGGGCAGAACCATCTTACACTACGCTCATTGGAGTCCTTGCGTAGCTGCGCTAAGCGGGCAACTTTGTGCACCGGGTATGGCGGACGATCCTAGCGATCACGCCAACGACAACGAGGTAAGTTTCATAATATTGCTATCATCCGACTATTATTTACCAAGGCAAAGGCGTTTTTGAGGCCCAGTGGCCTTCGGTTCGCAGTCGATACTGATATGAAGCGTCGCGGAGAAGATAACACGACCGAGATCTTGCTGGCCGAGCGTGGACTTTCTCGCAGACTTCCAGACAGCATTTTGCAAAACTTTCATCCTAATGACTTGGGTGCAAGTTACCAAGTTCAAATCACTGTTGCAGTTGATTAGGCCCTCTGAGTGGGGACTTGACTACCTTGAGATCGATGTTACGAATGCGCATTGCCCCATTGGCTGTTGTCGAATGACTGGACTTATTCCGCAATTCCTCGCCCTGACGTGGCCGAAACTCGTGGTCATTCGCCGGGTGCGGGACCGAGGAAGGAAAAGCGCAATTGCAGAGCATCTGCGGAAGTGGTTCCAAGACTTGCAGGATACAAAGGCAGCAAGACCGTACCGGGGAATGACGGGTGAGCAGATCCGAAAATGCATAATATGCATTTTGACCCCGAGTTCCCGAGGCGGAGGATTTTAAAAATAACACATAATTCGGGTCGGTTCGATATATTCTACCCGCGGACAGCTGGCGACCATCGAACGGGAGGGTCAGGCTCGGCGCGACAGCTACACTAGCAGCTGTCCTTAGCAGTTAGACCATTGTCTCCGACCAGGCCTTAGCTTGATTTCTGCCATGTCTCATGATTATGGAAGCTTATCGGCAGTTTGTGGATACCACAATATTCTTAGGTTTTGGTTTTGGATTTCAGTTGCAGCGTTGCGGCTCAATCCAGAAAGAACGTATTATCATAAACCTGCGATTATCGCATCTACTCTTCGGGTGGAAACACCACGATCCTATCGATATCCGCCCCCTTGAATGTCTGGTTATTGCTCAGCCCGCCAATTCTAATCTCATTTGGCCCATCTTCCAGATTCAACAACAACGGCGTGCTCAAAATGATTCCTTTGTGTGTATCACGCTGATACAACGTCTCGATCTCCTCCGTCTTGTTGTTGACCACAACACTACTGATCCTGCGCAGGGCCCATGTGCCTCCAATACGATCGGGCGAGCCTCCAGGCTGGTCGCCGAAACCCATATCGTCGGTGTTTTGGTAGTAAAATGATACCCATTGCGGCTTTCCAGTGCCGGTGACGTTTGTGAAAATCACAGTGCTTTCGTTTCCGGAGATACCCGTGGTGATGATTGCATGCGAGCCAAATGCAGCTTCTTGATGGAAAGCATCACCAGACGTGATTGCATCTTTCGAGTAGTATGTCGTGCCTTGGATGGGCGTAACCTCGCCGGTTTTGACGTTGAGGTCGTATATATCGTGCCATTCTACTGAGATTGATTTCTTATCTTCGTCAACGCAGAGGGGCAACCAGATATAGCGCGATTCCCAGAGCGAGATAGAATCCCATTGATCACCAAGATAGAGGTAGGTGGTTTGTTTGGTACCGTTGATGCGCAGCGAGAAGCCAGATTGGGAGTTGAAAGTGCGCGTGTTGAGAGGTGAGATGATGAAGGGTTGCGACCATGGGCCTGAGAGCTTATCGGCGCGGAAGGCTACCACATCTATTACATGTAAGCTATACATATCTGGCAATTGTGAGGATCAAATATTACTGTTTGGCCTGTAACCAGTCTTGTGGCTCATCAGCGCGAAGTAGCTCTTGTCGGTTTGTATGATCGTTGGTGCTTCGAGATCATACTTGTCGAATCTATGAACTACTTCATCAAGAGCGGTAATGTTGTCGTTGTATGAAGTGAGATAAACATCGCGACCCTCCTTGCGGTCACCATTCGAGTACAGCGAATAAGTCTTGCCGTCTTTGTAGTCGGTGAACATGCCAAAGTCCTGGGACCAATTGCCAAGTGGCTTCGTTGCATCCACAAAATTGTAGGGTCCAGTGATGTTATCTGCTTCGGCGAAGCCTTGGAGCAACCAGCCGTAAGTCGAATTATCGGCGTGCCACCACATCTGTGTTTATTAACACATTCCCTGTCATCAGACAATGAATGTTGCTTACATGATACTTCCCCGTACCTTCGCTGTACGCTACCTTGGGTCTTTGTATGATGTGATGGGTGTCGATGTATGGATGCCCTTCGATGGGTTTCAGTGCAAGCCCATGATGTTCCCAGGTAGCTAGGTCATCGGAGCTGTACACTGAGACGCCGCCTCCTTCTACCCGACCTTCAACTTTGTACTCCCCGAACCAAAAGAACTTTCCCGTATCTTGATCTATGGTGATTCCACCAGCGTGAGCGTTCACAAGCTCTCCCTTGGTGTCTCTCCATCGTGCTCCAGGTACAATCCATTTAGCAGATGCAGTCGCAGCAGCAAGCAACAGCTGGCAAGAAAGTGTGCTAAACCCCATTTTGAAGAGTGGGCGAGTACTGGGATATCAAAGTCGGTTTGTCACGGGCAAGGATGATTTATACCCAGCATGCCGGCATGGGTCTCTACCAGCCAAGACGGTCCCGGTGCCTATTCTCCCGAGCCGCCAAGAACGCTCGAGCCAGAGTTCTACGTGCGGGGCTCCACAAAGATCATCGTTGCCCAAGCTCGCGATTTCTCCAGGTTTCTGGGCAACGCCTAACCGCTTTGCCGTCTGACCGATGCAGCACTTACGAAATGAAGAGGTTGGTCAATTGGGCATGAGCGCGGCATTGCGGTAAAGCTTGAGTGAGGCGCAAGGACTACTGGGAACGAGGATTTCTTCCGAAATTTGACAAGGCTTTACTTCTGGCCGAGTGAGGCACCAGAGATCGAAGTCACGAGTCAATTGAAAAGAAATATGGCTGAAGGTCATTGGCGGAAAAACCCGACCGAAATTGACCCCAACACATCGCTTACGTAAACGGTCTAGCGTCAATTGACATCACCATTTGAACCTCTGGATGTCGCAGACACTAACATCACAACACGTATAAGCAAAAGTCGAACTGAATGTTATGCTTTGGATTTTTGCCTAGCAGCCGTCTCGGGGATGGTCGAATCTAGATCGGGCGCGCCCGCGCGATGCACTTACCGGGTGGCAACGGTCTCTGAAGCACATGGTATGTAAACGGGAAAGGACGTTGAAGGTACAGGCAAGTTCTCCTCGCCTAACTTGCTCGCGCGCTCTATATGCCATTTGTAGTCCAACTTACAAGTGTCCATCGACTAAGCAAAACTACGATCGCGCTCCGGAAATGATTCCACACGAAGCGCACACCGTCAACCAACGTAGCCTGAGGCCTTGTCGAGCAATCAAGCAAACCGACTTAGGCCTGTCCGATTCTTCGTTCGCTTCTTCAGTGATTTCTGCCTGCGCAGAGAATGCGCCAAAGCCATCTGCTCTTCCGCTTGGCTTAGCCTGTCTTCGAGTCGGGTGCGCTTGAGAGCACGACTCACAGCAGCTCGCTGTTTCTTCGCCACCTTCGCATCCTTGCGATGAATCTGGGTTCTCGAGGGAGCGTCGGTAATTGCGACTGGATCTTCCATCGCAATCGGAGCTGCTGTTGCGAGGCTATCGCTGCCTAGTGCTGGTATCATGATGGATGGATCGGGCTCCGGGAAGAGTTCGTCGTGAAGCCACAACGTAGTAGGCTCGGGTAGTTCCAACTCTTCTACAGTCTTCAGAATCGTGTTCCAGTCGTCTGGGACGCCTTTGCTATCCTTGTTGTTGGTAGTGCCTGCGAAGAGCTCATCATGAAGCCACATCGGCTCCAGTATGGACTGAAGGTCCTCGGGCGCAACCGCAGCAATTGCAGGAACGATTTCGCCCATGACAAGCCATTTGTCATCAGCTCGAACAAGAGCAGTCTCTGCTGTCGCAGTAAGGATGGGAAGCAGAACCAGTTCTTGACTTTTGGGCTGCTGCGAAACGATGTCGTCGGTATGCTTGTCACTCCAAATCTCCGTCTTCTCGCTCGCGACCTCCGACTTTTGCCGCTTCTGATACTCGATGCTATCCAGCCTTGCTCGCATCGTCTGCCTCTGGTGTCCCGTCATGCCTAACATCTTCTTCATGGCTTTCGCCTTCTCAGCTTTCTCAGCTAGACTCGTCTCATACTCCAACTTGAAGCTCTCGAATATTTTCTTCCATCGTATTTCATACTTGGCGCGATCTTTGCGAGCATCTTTGAGGTCGAGATTGTACTCGGCGATGTACGGATGTTCCGCACAGCCAGTCGTGGATATCATCGGGAACCTCTCGCCGTGAATGACGACCTCTCCAAACGTAGGAGAATCGGGCTCTTCGTCTACCACAGGTGCCAGGCAGAAGGCGAAGTGCAACTTGGTGATGCACTTCGCTTTCGGCGCTCCGCCACCGCATTCAGGATCTTCGCAATGATGAGACTTGTTCATGTAAGTCTTGGTCCGGATGTTGCGCCGCATAGCAGCATGTTTGTCGTTGAGGAGGGTTCCATATGCTTCGTCAAGATCGATGTCGCCTCCGCGCGCAAACTTAGGCATGTTTGCTTGAGGTTGAGTATCTGCTCAAGCTGTAATAAGGTTGGATCGTTCGACTTCTAATGCCTATATGCTATGGACCAGGAGCATCAAGGTATCTACACGCACAGGCTACCATATTAGCGCGCAATGGTCATGACTGTCACGTCATAGTGAATACTAGTGGCGGCTGCCTGAGCACAACCATTCTTGCTCCTCTGGTCTTTCACAACTTAAGTGTTTGCGCGACGACGCACCATTCGCGTACTTAGCAATCCTCCTATTGCTCTCTTCCACTCTGCCATTTCAACGGTCTCGCCTCAACACTTCCACTCGCAACCACAACCCATCACTCCAACGTCACATTGCAAGATGAAGTGCTTCTGGAAGATGTCCAGCCTGCGCAATGTAATCAATCTCTTCAAGCGTTCAGACATCGACGACGATGATCATAGATACGGTAGACTACATGGACGTTTATTCCCATTGGTACCCTCAGTGCCAGTGCCAGTGCCAGTGCCAGTACCAGTACCAGAAGCAGTGCCGCGAGACGGGTCTGCCATCGTTGCACGACTCATCCAGCGAACACGTGTAACAGCTTCTCAGCCTATTCTGTCTACGCACACCATCACAGTCACGACATCTGGGGATACTAAGCCAGCAACGTCACTACCAGTTGGGCACGGCGACACGATTACTATCACAAGGGCAGACGAGGAGCCTAGCAAACACACTTCGTTACCCATCATTAGCGGTCCAGAAGCCGAGCAAGAGCATGAAGACGAAAACAATGGTCCTATTGTTGACACGAAGCTTGAGACTGGAAGTGTTGATACTCCAGACGCTTTCATTCCAGAGGTGCACGAGGAGCTTCAAGAACGTGAAGTCGTCCTGAAGGTTGGTATTGAAGAGACTCGAGATTGAGTCCCTTCAAAACAACACCAGCGACATCGATATAAACGACACCATCGCTGGCTCCGCCGAACAGGACGTCGAATCTGAACTTGATGAAGTCAACGCTGCTTCTGGAGTTGCGATCAAAGAGACTGATGTGGATTCCGTCGAAGAGGATCCAGCCCCAGTTACCGCGGCCCCAAGGGTTCATCATGGAGTCTACGATCACGACGCAACAAGCGCCGCACCCATCTCTGAGTGCGAGACTGAGCTTGAAGACCACGACACCAGTTCTGTGGCTTTCGGAAATGAGGTCGGAGATGAGACCGTCTCACTGCCCCCAGCAAAAGGTATCACTCAAGATGGCGACGACATCGACGCTGGTCCCACCGACACGATCTGTGCCACAGAAGAGGAGCAGACCCCCGCGGTCTCCAACTCTTCTGACGACCACGACGACCCCAACGCCATTGACCCAGAAATCCTCCGCGCAGACTGGGCCCCCCTCCTTGCAATCCCCTCAGACCTCTTCTGCTCCACACTCCTCCAGCACCTGCCCGCCGCTCACGCTATCACCCTCGCCGACATCCAAAGCGTCGACAAAATCCAAGGCGGCAACAATTTCGTGCGCATCCTCGAAATCACCCACGGCCCCTCTGCAGACCTTTACGTCATCAAAGTGCCCAGTGTCGGTACAGCTGCGCGCTGGCAAGACTCGGACGCATACATGCTACGCAATGACGCGCGTACGATGCTTTATATCCGCAAACACACGGATGTTCCTAGTCCGGAGGTACTGGGTTGGAGTGATAAGTTGGATAGTAAGCTCGGCGCGCCGTACATCCTCATGCGCGCGAACAAGGTCGTGCCAGCGAGTAGTATCTGGTTTGAGCAGGATGACAAGGGGGAAGACGATGTCACTAATGCTGGGCTACCCGGCACAGCTCGCATGGACATCAGACTCACGTTTCTCCGCTCGCTGGCAGCGCAGATGGCAAAGTTGCAAACACTAACGTTCGATGCGGCGGGCACGCTAGATTTCGATGACGATGAGGAGAAGCCGACGATAGGGCCGACATATCACTGGAAAACAGTCAGCGAAATGGCGGAATTAAGTGAAGACGATATGGGCACTCCAGCCAGTATAACGCGCGTCCCCGCCTTCCCCTCCAGCACCGAATATTTCTCAAGCGCCCTCGAGCACCACTGGCCTCTTCGTACCGACACCTTCGGCGCACTCAGCAACGGACGACGCTTCATCATGCAAGCCATCTTATCCTCTCCACCCTTCTGTCCCTCCCCATCCAACACAGATAACAAGGAATCATTCACCCTCCGCCACCCGGACCTCGATTTCCAAAACATCCTCTGTGCACCCTCCGGCCACGTCACAGGTCTAATCGACTGGGACACCGCGCGCTCTGCGCCTCGGTGTCTGGGCTTCTGCGCGCTCCCAGTCTTCCTGACGCGCGATTGGGCGCCCGGGTTCGAGGTCGATGCAGAGATGCACATGCCCTGGGAACTCACCGAGTACCGTGGCGTATACGCGCGCGCGATGCTGGCTGCTTCTCCGGATGGCAAGTTCACGGCAAAGAGCGCGGTGTATGAGGCGTGTAATGCGACGCTGTATGGCGGGACGCTAGGTGGTAGTGTGGGGGGGTTTTGTGAGAAAGGTATTGGGGGGAGTTGGAGGGCACGAGGAGGTTGGAGGATGTGGATGTCTTGCGGCATCTCGGGGAGGGGTGGGCGCTTGGAGAGATGAGGATTGGGAAGGAGGTTAGGGAGCTTGTTGCGCCGGTGGATGTGATGGAAGTCGTGGAGCCGTGCTATTGGGTTGATCCAGATGAGGAGTAGGATGTATTTAAAATGGAAGAAATACTTTGTTGTATACAAGTCATGCACGGCAAGTACGGCAGTGCCACTAGGCCCTGGCAAAATTCCTGTCCGCCTTCACCCTACGAGAAAAGCTAAGAGATAGCCTAGAAACATTGAAAACCTTTAGCAAGAGTAGGCAAAATATTTTACAGCACTAAATATGTTCAAGCTTCTTTATGAGCTTCTAAGTGCGACCTTAAAAACCATCAGATTTTTTCACGTATATGCAGAGCAGAAACAAATTTTGCTGCTGCCTGGTGGTGCAAAGATAGCATCGAATAGTCCATGTATTATTAACATTGATATCATTACTCTTATCCCAGACTCAGCTCTTGCCAAACCCACCTCATCCTCCTTTTGTCACTAATATGCGACCATAGCATTCAGTCCCGCCAACTCACGATCAAAGTTCTTATGCTGCGAGATGGCAAACGCATACGCGCTCACAAAGTCCTTCGCGCCCTTCGCCATCTGCAGCGTCTCCTTGAAGTTCTCAGGCTGCACCTTGCTAGCCGTAACAACGCCGTAGCTCTCCACAACATCGCCTGCAGTCGAGAACTGCATGTCAGGGAGATCGACGCACTGCTTGACGAAGGCAACAGCCTCGCCAGTGGCGCCGATGGCTTTCAAGTGGCCGAATGCTTCGCGGACCCAGTGGATCGCGCGGCCGTTCTTGCTGAGTGTCTCGACGGACTTGGCGCCGCCGGGGACGAAGACGCTATCGAACATGGTGGAGCGCATGCCTTCAAGGTGGTGGTCGGCCTTCACACCGCCGGATGACTTGTCCTCACCCTCGGCGAAGATGTTGTTTCTCCTAGGGCTTATAGTGAAGGGGAGAGCACCGGCGGCCGTCAGGGCGGCCTTGATACCCTCGTAGGCGACCTTGTCGTACCCGTCGGCAATAATGATGGCTACCATGCGAGTCGCGATGGTGGGCTTCTCCGGTGGGAAATCCAACTGCGAGAGGCCCTTCGCTGTCTTATTGTGTTTCGTTCGCGTTTGTGTCGTGGGAATGTCGCCTCCAACCATCTCCGAGACTTTCTGAGCGAGCTCGAGATCGATCTCGCAGAGGCGCTCGCAGATGCGATTGTAGACCAGAGGGTCGTCGCAATGGTCAAGCTCGAAGGCGAACGCATTCATAGCGTGCATCTTTTCGGGCTCAGAGAGCGAGTTGTAGAACAACTCAGCCTGATTCTTATGTTCGCGGAACTTCTTGCTCTGTGTTCGAGCCTTGATACCGGCTACCTTCGCGGGGAAGTCGATGTATGCGCCCTCGCTTGCCTTGGCGGGAGGTGCAGATTCGAAGCGATTTGGCCAATAGTTGACCTTGCCCTTAGTGATACCGTGGCGCATGGCTCCATCGCGGTTGAAGTTCATAACGGGGCATACAGGTTTGTTGATAGGCAGCTCTTGCCAATTGACACCCAGACGAGAGAGTTGAGTGTCGTTGTATGAAAAGTTACGGCCCTGTAGTAGCGGATCATCGCTGAATCCAATACCAGGGACAACATGGCCGGTGCAAAATGCGACCTGTTCCGTCTGAGTGAAGAACTCATCGGGGTTCTTGTTTAGCTCCAGCTGACCAATGTACCTGATGGGCACGAGCTCCTCAGGCCACACTTTGGTAGCATCGAGGATATCGAACTCGAAATCGTGCTCCTTGGACTCTGGGATGACCTGGATGCCAAACTTCCACTTGGGATATGCGCCGTTTTCAATCGCCGTCCACAGATCCTTGCGGTGAAAGTCAGGGTCCTGACCAGCGATCTTGAGCGCCTCGTCCCACACGAAGCTGTGTACACCCAACTCGGGGGTGAAAATGAACTTGACAAAACTCCTCTCGCCCTTGTCGTTGGTGAGTGTGAAGGTGTTGACACCGAAACCCTGCATCATACGGTACGAGCGAGGAATCGTCCGGTCCGACATGGCCCAGAAGAACATGTGGGTTGCCTCGGGGTGCATGTACTGGAAGTCTAGCAAGGAATTAGTGCATGTTTCATGGCAAAACGTGATGTCGATAGTCGAGGCTGTATACACCTAAGGCCACCCCAATACCCCACAGGGCCCCGAAAGATCCTTGAATCTATTCACGAATCTCTAAAAAGGACAGAACTTTGAGGAGAGGGGGCAAAAATCATCGGGTACTCGTTGGTGCGAACTCTCATGGGACCAAAAACTCACCCCAGAAATTGTTATGCGCCGACTGTGCCTGAGGCATCTCATTATCAGGCTCCGGCTTTCCAGCATGAATTACGTCTGGAAACTTCATAGAGTCCTGTATGAAGAAGACGGGAATGTTGTTGCCAACGATGTCCCAATTGCCCTCTTCGGTATAGAACTTGACGGCGAAACCGCGGACATCGCGAACAGTGTCAGCGGAACCACGGCTACCGAGGACAGTCGAGAAGCGCAGGAAGACAGGTGTCTCACGCGATGTGTCAGTGAGCACGCCGGCTGATGTGACGTCGGCTGCGGATTCGAAGAGGGTGAACTTTCCGAATGCGCCGGAACCACGGGCGTGGACGACGCGCTCGGGAATGCGCTCGTGGTCGAACCGTTGGATCTGCAGATGTCAGTGTTTTACTGTTGCCGCCTGGTGCAATGTCACATACCTTCTCACGTGCGAAGTGGTCTTCCAGGAGCATAGGCCCCTGCTGGTCCTCGGTCGCGACCTTCAGCCAGTCGTCCGTGTTGTTCTGCTTGACACCATAGTCGCTCGTCATCTTCCATTTGGGGTCGTGAACATCCTTGGTGTCAGCCTGGAGCTGCGCGACCTTTGCGTTCTTGACTCCCGTCATCTCTTTAGCCTTGTCTGCAACGTGGGAGGCGGTTGCGAGAATTTGCGACGCCATTGAGCTTCGTAATAAAATTACAGAGAAGAGTTGGGGTCGTTGTGCGGGTCACGGTGTTCTTACCATTGTTATACGGCTGAGCAAACGGCCTCGTCTGTTTACAATTCGACGTCATTTGTACGTCGCAATGTCGCGACACCGCTACACCTACCTGCAAAACCCCCTGCGAGATGGTCCTCTTCCAGGTCCACACCCGCGATTCTTCGGAGCGGAGTCGTTCTACAGCCAATCAAGACAATAAAGATGACAATCATGACGAGAAAATGCGTATGCACCGTGACTGCCGAAGGTGGCCGGATTGCCGCGAGTCGCTACATTGCCATGTCTGCACCTGATGGGATTCGAGATGTCCATGCTGAGCAAGAACCCGCCCCGAACGGCCGCATCAGACGTTTAGCCTGACGAATTCCGCGGACGTCGCTACAGGGACGAGGCCGTACCTAGCATCTTTCTGCCAAATTTTAACAGTTGTGACGTCAAATTCTCGATGCGGGGTTCATCGCAGCGAAAGCACGTGGAGACTGCCCCCGCCATGATCCACTCACGACTGATGGGTGTCGAATATGACAGAAAGAGAAGAATTGAATACTAAGAGGCAGGCTCTCATTCGCAGGAAGTTTTCAAGAAAACATGGAAAGCAAGATGCTCAGACGGAGGTAGATCTACAAAAAGAGAAGGGAGGATCGCGACCGCGCCGCCAACAATCTTACACCAGTAGTTACCTACAACATCGTGATGATGAACACCGTTGGAAGTCGTTGCCCAAAAGCGCACGGATATTCGGACATTTTTCTTCCCGCCCGAATGCGGCAACACGAGCGCTTACTTCCAGACGAGAGCGCGGCGCGCGTCAAAGCCATAGGAGACGCCTCCGAAAACACAAAGTTTAGGCCGGCCAACGCGTCCACAACGCTAATTTCAACTGCAGATGACCACCGAAAGGTAATCAAATGGTCCCATGTCAGAGAAGGAAGAGGGTCAGAGTCTGACAAGTGAACTTGTCCGAGGCGAACAGTGTCGGAAATTGTGCTTGCTGCTTATCGGAGTCGGATCCCATGTGCGCCACGACTTGACAAGCCATTCAGGTACCCATCCGACCAGGCGTACTGCAAGACCCAGGTCACGCAATCTTTATGCAGAGGATCGAGTAAGTGTTTGCGTGCGGGCCGATACAGTACATACGAACAATCAATTTTATCGTTTGTATATGAAATAAGCAGCATCCGACGAGGTCCGCTTTCAACTTAGTCCTGGTGATCATCACGTCTCGACCAGCAGCATCCAGCTTGGCATGGTAGAGTGCATCATTTTCGTGCTTTAGCGTTGTTCATGCGGCGATGAAGAGGTACATGATCGCCCCGAGGGTCGCTGCGGAAAAAACAATTCACACGTCTTGTTGCGTGCTGGAGTGAGAAAATCGGCCCGCGATCTGCTATGCGACATGGCCCAGGAACCCAGCAAAGCCACATGGCGACAAGGCCTCTCCCCGCATTCAGTGGTTGGACATATGTTCCTTGTCGTTGATCAGAAGTACACTGGGATATCGTGCGTCTGGGAGTGAAGTGAATTCTGGACGTGATTCAGACAATTGTTACGTACCGAACCTGGAGGGCAAACTCCTGGTTCTTCGTATCCTGCCCAAAACGACGGACATCCTATCTTCCCAGATTACGTTTGAATTGTGCAGATAGTGCGCAGATTGCCATCGACATCAGCATGATATCAAGCATTCGAAGATCCGGGATTATGTCGGATGCAAATGACTTGGGAGTATCGAAACGTACTCGCGCCTAATTAGCTCGGCATGTTCCTAAGGCCGTAATTCATGCTACCGAGACTCGCCCATTGGTCGAGACCTCTGCGTTTAGAGCGTATAGAACGTATAACATGCTTGATATGCGGAGGAATAGTGCTGAGTTGATCGGACGATTCGTGTATGACCAGAATTACCCCATTCAGTGTGACAGGTCGCCAGCACAAACGTCGCTGCGACTGCAATGTATTGACGATCTACGTGGCGAGCAGTGTACACAATGATGGTCGGCGAAGATGGTTGCGCATCGAGAGAAGAAATGTGGTCTCAAACATGGAAAAACAAACTCCGAAGTTTATGCGAATATCGCGACTAGGTCAGTGATCGCTTGGCCTACAAATGCCGTTGGGGTCCTTCATAGGCCACAGACTGAGAAAGGGAAAATGCCGGGACAGAACGCCATCCCCGCAACGCGCGCATCATTAGTGTCACAGACAGCCAGCATAACCGAGCTTGAGATCCTGGTCTCACCGGCGCTCCAGCCCGGAAAAGCGATGGTCCTAGTGTCAAAGAGTCTCGTCTGGCGCGATAGCGTTGCTGTCTGTGCTGAGAACTATGTTTTGTTTTGAAACAGCTCCCCGGCGCAGGCTCGAACGCAATGTAAATCATCAAACGATGCTGAATCACCCCGAGTAAGCGAGGGCAGTGGTGCCACGCCATCGAAAGCATGCACGGCAGACAGCGGATGGAAGGACAGCAACGGCGTGGGCTAAGGAAGGTGGGACTGAAGAATCCAAGTGTGGAATGAAGGCCATGCGGGCTCGCTTCTTCGAAACAAAAGTGCATTCATCTCATGCCACCGTCCACGTACGGTGCGTCAATAGGCCTCACAAGGCTGCTGCAGGTTGGTGACGGCAGTCGCTAATGCGAGCCTGCATGGCCTTGTCGTCAGGTATCTTGTCGCAGCCCAAGGGCCCTTTGCTTCTTTTGTTGCCCACGGCGCAGACGCGCAGTGCAGCTCGAGTCGCACAATGGCGATCTGGTGCGAAGCGGGCCGGCTATGCTAGAGCGCTTTGGGTTGTGTGGCCCGTTCAATCCCTGGCCGCACCGTTAGTCCAACGTGAAACGAATATTTTGACAGGCGACACAGCATGCGTCGTGCAACTTGTGTCGCCGACAACACGCACCGAGGCTTTTCGTTTGACCTCGCAACAGCCATATGACCCAAGCAACTCTGCTCTTGTGGACTCGCTGACCTCGGATGGAGAAGATGGCCAAGCGGGTGGGGCATTTGATCCTCTGCAGATGCAACGTCCAAGGGATGCTTGCAACATTGTCCTATGGCCTGTCCCATAGTGTTTGCTCAAAGTATGTTCAGCAACAACGGCAGCATCCGCATGGACGGCAACCCCAAGAATTGGGCGCGTCATTTCGAGGGGCGTCTGTTCTAAAGAGACAATTGAGTTGCCGTTTGTGGACTACGGCTGGACGGGACATTGCACTGGGGCTTCCGTCATGCTTCACTCTCGCTGTGCGGGCATTGCTGCGCTCAGGATCCACTGTTGCAACGCAAGGCAGGCCTGAGCAAGTATTGCTTTCCATGTTGCACCCGCATCCGCTGGAGACGTGGAGCGAACACGATGCATCGGCGCATGATGTTCAGAGTCTGTCTGTACAAGACGCTCAACTTCGCAGGGCCTGCTAGACAGGGGTGCCATGCGCGACTGTTGTGCAACTCGAGGAGCGGCTAGGACGCATTCCTCCTGATAGGCAAACGAGTCGCGCCTGGAGAGAGGAGTCTTGTTGAACGCGGGAATCCATGTTGCGACTCAGGGACGCAGGACAGATTCAGAGGTGAGAGGGTCGGGCGCCAAGCCCAATATTGGAACACACAAGTGGAGTGATGAGGGATGGGTGATGAGTGATGGCTGGCGTGGAGGCGCTGCTGCTGTTGGCCGTAGCGCGGCAGACAGCGTCTGGTGGGCCATTGGCACTGCTGGCAGCCGGCGGCCAGCAAACGCTGTGCTGTGAGGGTGAAGCTAGGTGATGCTGGGTGATGCTAGGTGATGCTAGGTGATTCTCCAGGTCGGCGCTTCACCCATCACCATCAGCCCTGTGCGCGGTGCAGTGCTGTGCAACCAGAGTGGCCGGCTTTGGTGCTCCGGTGGATCTACGAGGCTAAGGCGCGGCATCGCAGCGTCGAGCCGGCTCATGTTGGGGCGTGCTGGCCCTGCTGGGGCCCTGACTGAGGTCGCGCGTGTGATGGCCCATGGACGCGAGACGGAGAAATGTGAGCGCATAGGTAGATGGCAGAGGTGCGACGTGCAAAGCGCAAATCCCCGCCGCTCGGCTTGTTGACGCAAAGTGCCGCGTCGACTGGCGGACCCTGACTGCTTTGGGCAACGGCGTCCTGCGAGGGTGCGGCGAGGAGGGCGAGAGGCCAAGGGACGCGGGAGCGCTGCGCTGCTGCGAAAGGGACGACAGTCGAGGAACGACGGCTCTGCAGGCTGCGTCGGCTGGCCTCCCGCGGTGATTGGGCGAGGCGTGTGCAGACATGACCAACAGCAGCGGCATGGTCACCCCAGCTCTTGTGCATGCAGCGCTAGGTAGCTCTTGCCTTCCGCACGGAGGCCAACGGCTACACTGGTCGTACTTACTCTTTGCTTTGCAAACGGCAGCGGGCAGCAATCTAACAACTTGCGAGTGAACCGTCTGCCCGGTATGGCTCCATAGGTTATAAAACTCTCGCGGCGCCCCAGGATAGCTATCCCTTTTGGACGCTTCGACCACCCTGCCCTCTCCCGCACACCACTGCTGCCACCTTGTGCTGCGTGTCGTTGCGAGGTACCTCGAGCCTGAGTCTGTCCTAGCTGCCCACTGTACACTG